AGGGACTAGTGCACCATTCTTTTTGACCAATCATACTTTAGTCTAAGAAATGGGAATTTAAAATGTGATATAAAGAAAAGACATATATAAAAATAGTCAGTAAAATTTCTAGTTTGAAGTATTTTTAAAGGAATTGTGCGTTTTTCGTACATTTCTAGTATTTCTTAAGACTATTTACATATATTCAAGACTCAAATCAATGCCCCAAAATGGCGCATCTGTTCCTTTAATCATTTATAATCTGCGAATATTTCGTAGTAAAGTGTTCTTGTTAATTTTGTTTGTAAGACAGAATTTACCAATTATTTCATTTTCAAAATAATATTGAAGTGGGTTTCATTAAAACTTTTGATTTGAGTTTTTCAACTCTGAAATTATTTTTTTTAAGTTAGCTTTAATCTGAATGCTTTATTTCTATATTTCTTGATTTAATATCAGTAATAATTTCATAAAACAGTTTCCTACTATTCTGAATTGACTGATTACATGATGAAAGAAGACAGAGAAGATTCTATGTAGTTTGGTGCATCTAAACCATCAAATTGCAATGCAAATTGTCTGTAATCTGTCGTTCTTTGCCAGAACATCATAAGATTATCATTTCATCCAAATATTACAACCATTACAATGTATAATCTATAAATGATGTTTAGAAGTAGATGGAACATTAAATAAATAAGAACACGACTCCTTCCTTTAATTTTAGCAACTTTCAATTCACATACAGGAATCTTTAACAAGCGCAAAATGTAATGAAATTACAATGTAGATGACAATGATCAAGTGTAGGATCTCTTCTCTATAGATATTGATCTACAGGTACTGTATGGTGGTAGCTATTTGCAATGTCAAATAAGCACATTTTTGTGCAAAATGATATATAATATTTATACCTTGATAGTGAAATAATTTTGATATTTATACATAACTGATGCCAGCTCAGGATCAGTTAATTATTTTGCAGAGTTTTATGAACACCTGTATTTGTCCAATCTTATATAATATATATCAATGTATACATCTGTTATAACCTTGATACAGTATATATAATAAGTATATGATAAATAGCAATTTTTTTATTATTTGATATAATTTGATTTTAGAATAAAAACATCCACAGGTGTTCTCTCTTAATTAACATGACTATTTGAAGAAAAGAATTAATTAGCAGGAGCCATATTTAACAATTTTGAAGGTGAAACCGGTATGAAATTGAACCCGCTTAAATATTTCACACTTTTTGAGTATTTAAAAAATTTCACTAGTCAATTGTATGGAGATGAAAAGTTTCACCAAGTGTAAGTAAGATTCATCAGTTATGAGGTGATTATAAAAGTTTAGCCATGCATAGCCTATTATCACTTTCCTCTGCTACCTTAAAGGGACAGGTGCCCCAATTTGAGGGGTTGATTTGAATGTTGAATATATGTAAATAGTCTTCAGTAGTACTAGAAATGTTTGAAAATTGCATTCAAATATATCTGTGACTAAGAATTTCTTTTCCTATTTCTATAGATGTCTTTTCTAAATATGGCAGAGTCTCAAGAAAAGACGGTGCACCATTTTAACTTTTAAACAGGGTTAATTCTGGACACACATGGATTCAAAGGCTCAAATCTTGAGCTGTGAACATTATTACTGATTAGCTTAGTTTAGCTAAAAAGATTCCTGTTTTTGAGACTAAGGTACGATTGGTCATAAAAATTCTGCATTTGTCCCTTTAAAGCCACCTTGATCTAATTTAGATTACATGTATTTATTTATAGTATGTATAAGTTACAATAGGAGATTTGTTACCATCTTGTATATCAGTTGATTAAGCTGCCATTGACTGTTACAAATACCAACACAACTGACAGTCTGTTGATCTGTAACTATTAGCTCTCACTCATGATGCAGGCTACAATTTTGACAGAATTTTTAGTGTAGGTGTGTGTAAAGGAGACACTGTCATACTATCACAAGTCCTGGCACAGGCATCAAATCCTTTTTACCTTGAGGAGGATTCGAATCCATGGCACCTAATCGCCTAATAGATGAGAATTCAGCTTGCTACAGACAAAAGTATGGTGCAGAAAAGTCCATTCATACATTCATTACAGGGTGATATCTATGAACTTTGGTTGAACATTGAAATATATAGTTATTAGAAAGTAAAACAATCCAAATGACATATTTTCCTTTTATCAGAAAAAATGTATTTTACCAGAAAAAAACCTGATTCAGGCCACAATTTTCATGTAATTTTTAGTGTGTAGTTTTGTGCCAAGGTTAAGGTGAACCAATATGAAGGTTGAATATTGATATGAGCAAATAAATTCAAATGACAGCCATTGCCTTTACCTTTTTTTGCAAAAGGCTGTGTTCCATAATAACAGACAATATTAGGTATTTGATTACCAGTATGTTCTGAATTGCCTCTGATGGCTTTTAGCTTTATGATTTGAATAAATTTAAACATTGATATTATTCAGTACATAAAGGTCATCATGTTTATTTGCAAGATATAGTTATAGATAAAACTACTGTATATCTTGTTAAAGATGGGTTTCCTTGCTTTTAGTGTCAAATTAAGCAAACTATTTGATTAATTGGTGTTTCTAATGAATTATCATGTATTCTTAATCATATCGTTATGTTCTTATTGCATATAATTAAGAGTTTTAACCAATGATAGATGTGCATGTATGTACAGTCTGGATAAACAAAAAAATACTTTTTGACCTTTCGTCACTCATTGGAATTCTGCTGGTATTTCTCTTCTAATTTAGCTAATTATGAAATATTTGAGACAAACTGGTATTTTTCCATGTCATTAGAACACATCTACTTTCTATTCATATAAGTATTAGCATTTTCATTTTAATAAATGGAAATAAGGGAACCCATTTTTAAGTAACCCATTGAAATGTGTCTTTTGCCTATGTATTGAATATTATCATGTACACTGCAAAATATATCAATATCTCAAACAAGTAATTACACGACCAATATTTTCATTCAATGTTGTTTTTTTTACTCAGTGTACATGTATTTTGTGTCAAGTAGCTAGTCAAATGTGACAAAGCTGTGTTAAAGAGGTCCTCTATCACAGTGTTAAACTATCTATTATAAACTTCACAGCAAGTCTCTATTTCCTCCCCGAACCTTGTACGACTATACCTGGGTTATATCTTGTCGGGGCCTGTCGAACTGACTAATTGGCCAGGATATTGAATAAGAGTCTAGGTAAGAAGAAGTGTAATAGGTATGCCCCTGTAGACAATAGACAGTGTTTGTATGGAGTGACAATGTAAGGACTATCTTGTTTCAGGTGGAATGTTATCAGTTTATTGAGGATAATGATAGACCTGTATGAAGTTTGTCTTTATTGCTGCTGGCTTCAGTTTTTTTGTAGCTAAATAAAGGGCCACTACTGCTGCACATGCATTGAAATTTAAACTTGCTTAGGGTAACAATAAAGACTTTGTGTGGTAGAAAATTTGTATAGCTTATAAATAGGGATATAGGGATTTTTGGAAATTTAAAAAAAAATCAGCCATTACTTACAAGGATAACAACTAATGTTAAAGAGACACATGTACCATTTTGGGGGGTTGATTTGAGTCTCAAATAATATGTAAATAGTCTTCAGAAGTTCAAGAAATCGCAATTCCTTCAAAAATATCTCAAACTAGGAATACCTTTTCCTATTTCTATAGATGTCTTTTCAGTATATGGCAGTGTCTCAAAAAAACAACTCGTCTTTTTAACTTTCAAACATGGAAAATTCTGGACACACTTGGATTTGAAGGCTCAAATTTTGGCAGTGAACTGTGAACACAATAACTGATTGGCTAAGCCAAAAATTGCTGTTTCTGAGACTGAGGTACGATTGTTAAAAAAATGGCACATCTGTCCCTTTAAGGAGGATCCTTCCTTCCAGCTGGTCCCTTGGCCAAACTTTTAGAAATTCATCTTTCCTGTATTATCTGTACCCAGCTGGATCAACTGGAATAATTAGGAAAGATGAAGTTACATGACTTCACACACTGACTGAGATTAGAACCCAAGACAACCGTTTGCTTGATGTAACTAAACATCTTACTGACGCTCTTACCTAATATGCCATAGACCATCCACACAAAACTTATCAAGACTATTTCTTCATGTTTTTGTTGACTGTTTTCCAAATTTTTGTTCAGTTTAGAAAAGAGTGTCAAATTATTGGTTGTGTACAATAAAAGCAGTCGAAACTTCAAAGCCTGAGGCATGATTGGTTGAAAATTGACAAAAACTACTAATTTTCAACTCTACGTCTTTCTAACTTGATATTTGGTACGAATCATTCTCAAGTATTTTCATTATTATTTTTCGTCAATTTGATCTTTTAAAAAAGTAGAAATACATTGTGAGGATTTTGTTATTTTAACAAACATAACTTTACAATTTCGTCACAGCTCTCTAGATTTATAAGAAGAAAATTTCCCCGGGCATTATAAGAGAGGAAGAATGGCTAATAGTTGACATTTTCAAATTTGTTCATTTCAAAAGATAAATACAAGAGGAGGGCTTGTCTTTGAATTTTGACATAGAAGAATTTAATTATTTTTACCTTAAAGGGACAGGTTCGCCATCAGTTTCTCAGAAACTAGAATTTTTAGCTAAGCCAATCAGTAATATTGTTTACAGCTCACTGTTGAAATTTGAGCCTTCAAATCCATGTGTACCCAGAATTATCCACGTTTGAAAGTCAAAAAGACGAGTCATCTTTTCTTGCCATATATAGAAAAGATGTGTATAGAAATAGAAAAAAAATTACTAGTTTGAGGTATTTTTGAAGGAATTATGTGATTTTCATACATTTCTAGTACTTCTGAAGACTATTTACATATATTCAAGACTCAAATCAACCCCAGAAAATGGCAAACCATGGCCTTTTAATCAAGAATGATATCATAGAATTGAATTATGAAATCTAATTAATTAAATTTTGTTTATATTTTCAGATCGGTTACAAGTATTATTATATAAAGATGTCAAAGAAGCCATTAAAGATGGTTGTAAACCAAAATCCTGTTTTCCTATTGAACATTTCTATGGTCTCCAGTCTGGCTTCACCTACGAGAAAGAAAACAACATCATGGCTATCATCTGTCAAAAACAAATTACATTATTCTCTTTTGAAAACCGGGAAGACTTGATCCAGTTTGAAATCAAGATCAGAAGAAGTTTAGGAGAAGGTAAGTTTATTTGATGAGGCTGTAGATAAGTTGGTTTACTGATAATCAAGACTTGCAAAAAATCCAGTCCAATGTCAGTCAAAATTCAAGTAACAAAGCAGTTTATGCAACGTTTCTTTTGAAAAGTGTCCATCATGTGTTGCTGTTTGGATTTGAACAGACAGAAATCTGCCATTAATGCCTGGCCATATTTATCAGCCGATATTGTCTGGTGATCATGACCAAATCATCTTCCATCTTTAGTTGCTCCAGCTGTATGGGTACATATCTCATCGCTTTGTTGTTTTCAGATGTTTCTTTTCAAATTTTGTTATGTAATTTGTGATATTTTTTTCAAAAACTGGTTTTGCTCCTACATAACCTTAAGTGATTTGACAATTTGGAACTGTCGAAAAATATGCATTGTGCAATTTTAATCCACAATGAATGAGTGATCAAAACGAAAAAATCTATTGATACAATCTATAGGTCACTCAACAGATTGAAATTGAAAATGTGTAGGCCAAATTTCCCTCATTGCACATTGTATGGCATTGGCCTTCCTCATTAGGCCAAACAGGTGTAAAAAAGATGGATGTATTTTATTTCATTTGATGTTAATACATGAGTTCTTCAAGATCAAACTGTACCAAAAAATTGATACCATAGATTCCTGTATTTGTGGTAAAATGAATATGTTTTATCAAAAAATTGATACCATAGATTCCTGTATTTGTGGTAAAATGAATATGTTTTATCAAAAAATTGATACCATAGATTCCTGTAGTTGTGGTAAAATGAATATGTTTTATCAAAAAATTGGTCATGTAAGGTTTCTTTTATCATATAAAAAGCATTTTATAAGTTTTTAAAAGAGGAAGTTTTTTATCAACATGAGTATCATTGTAGAAGATCTTAATTTAAACCATACTTATAACACTTCAACCAATTCTACTTCAATTTTATTACCAAGAGAGCTACCTTTATTTCATTAGTCCATAAAAAAAACTGTGTAATTGATAAACACAAGCTAAAAATAACTCTTTCTTTGTTTATATCTCGGTCTAAAATTAACCATATCTCTTCCATGATTTTTAATAGAAATATATTAACAAATTTGAGAACTAACTGTTTTTGAAGCGACAGGATTTGATTGTAAAATGTGTCTAGATGAAATTGTGAAATATTATGAAGATTTTACTATTAGATGCATTGCCTTTTCCATTTTCAATGTACTCTTAAAGGGATTGTAAGGAGGTTTTTCTAAATTTTTTATGTGCAATAGGGACACTGATTATATAAATATGCACTATTCCAATTTTAAATCAGACGTCTATGGTTCCTGCAATTCTGCTAAAACTAATCGTTTGATGACGTCACTAATAGTGAAGGGCCTTATGTGGTACAAGCATAATTAACAACAAAATTTAATTAAAATTTAAATAAAAAATTTTTTTTGGCAAGATATGGCACGGTTATTTCCAACAAATGATTTACCACAAAATTATGTCCATACAAATTATGTTCACATCCATAATGTGACGACTGCCACAAGTTATTATGGTCGCTCACGTTTTAATGTTGGCTTATGTTTGGCTCATTAAATTATTATGGTATTACAAATTGAACAGGTGGATATTTTGTTTTAATGAGGTCTTAACCATTAAATATGGAATTTTTATGAGTCAATTATGACTAGATCAAAACCTGTTTTACCCTAAAAATTTATAAGACAAATATTATAAAAATTGGATTGTAAATTCTTTTTACAAGAAACACCTGTCTCAAGTTTGATTTCACTGCTGTAGTATAAATAACATTTATTTTGCCTTAAACCATAGTTGTGTTTTGATACTTTTGATGACAAGTAGGCCATTTTATTGACCAATCATATTTTAGTCTCAGAAACTGGAATTTTTTAGTAGAACTAATTAGTAATAGTGTTCACAGCTCACTGTTGAAATTAGAGCCTTCAATCCATCTGTGTCCAGAATTATTCGTGTTTTAATGTCAATCAATGTAAGATACTCAGTCATATATAGAAAAGACATATATAGAAATACTGAGTAAAATTCCTAGATTGAAGTAGGGAATCAACCATACTTGAAAATGTAAACTAGAATTTTACCTAAAAATATTGAGATGCTCCTTTAAAAATATATAATTAAGCTATGGCCTTCATAAAAAACATATTTGAACAAATTTCGATCCAACATTATCAATTATTAGTGAACTCTTCAAAAAGGGATACTATTTGGGCAGACCTATGGGTTGATAAAAAAGCGATCCACCAAGGAATGATCATTACAGACTAAAAAGATCATTAACAGAGTAATTTCCCTTGATTATGAAATATATCATCAAATATTGATAAGAAATAAAGAGAGTATAGGCTATGTTGAAATATTAAGTTTAAAATACATAAAATAAGGTACTCTATTGGAAATTTCCTATGACCATCTGTTCAGTAATAAGATCTGAAAGGATTTGCAATTTGCACATCACAAGACATTACCATGTGCCTTACTTCAGATGTAGATCAGAGATGTAGATATAGACATTTGGTACCTGACTTGCAGCATTTCATCTTATATTGCACCTGCTATCTTCAGATTCCATTATGATAATTAGACATTGAGCCATTTATAAGAAGTGGTGTAATTCATGCACATCAATCAATAACAAGCAAAAAAATTACATTCAACACCTTCAGAATTAATTGGACAAATTACAACTTTCTACCAGCAGGTCCTCAACCAAACATTGTGGCATTGATCTTTCCTGGATGACCCATACTCATTCATATGTATCCGTTTCAAATCACAGCTGGGTTGTAACCAGGAAAGACCTTAACCTTCTGACCAAGATTAGAACCCATGACTACCTGATGTTATGTAAATAATCCAATGCTCTAACCAATTGTGCTACAGAAACTCTCTATTTGATAAAATTGATAAGTTTTCATATCATAAGACAAAAATGTAGTGCTACCCTTTTCCAATTGGTATGATAAAACCAGGTGTGTGCATGAAGTGTAATCAAGTCTAATGCATCAACCATGCTAGCACTTGATAATATTGGTCAAATATTCCTCTAGGTATATTGTGATTAACATCTGAAAGATTTATCATGACTTATCAGTCTGTAATTTGCTATTGGACTGATAAGTTCATCTAGATTCCATCATACTAGTCATGTTCAATTTGCCACTAGAGATGTTTTTATACCAGCTGTTCTTGTCATTTAGTCTTAATCAGATATAAAACTGTTGAATCATTTCATTAAGTATCTATAAGGCACTGCTTTGTGATGGGTTACTAAATTTGGTTTGGCCAAATGCTGATATGAAATATGGTGCTGCTGATAGAACTTGTATTGATATAGAATATTTCAGAAATATCAAATGAACTAATCACATTTTATAAACAATCAAAAACACTTTTGGAATTTTATAATTATACACTGTACTTAAATGTATTAAATGATTTCACATTCAACATGGAATATATTAGAAAAAGTCTCAATATTTATATTATTTAGTTCAACTTACGTAAGCTGTAAAAATTTTCAGAATATTATGTCCAATTCTCCTGCTATTAAACTGAAATTGAAGTTAAGATTGTTAGCACTTCAACGGTGTTATTAATATTTTTGGTGCAGATATCACTGATCTCATGACTAACCTATATTGGCATAAATTGCTAATGAAACTTCCTGAAGTTATTACAGCATAAACTTATCAGATGATAATGCACATTTTTAGAGGACTTCAAGGTTTTTTTTATGTTTATCAGGGACACTGATAGCATCAATTTACACCATCAATTTGCACCATCAGATGTCTGTGGTACTTGCAATTCCACTAAAACTAAGTGTATGATAATGTCACTAATTGTAAAGTATGCTATATCACAGAAGTTTAAAGACCTTTTGCAATTAGTGACGTCATCACACACTGATTTATAGTAGAAGTACAGGAACTACAGATATCTGATTGCAAATTGATGCTCTCAGTATCCCTAATACACATAGATTTTTTAGAAAACCTCTTTACAATACCTTTAATTAGTTTCAGTCATAGAACAAAGGTGAAGAGCCCTTTGGCATGAATGTGACTCTAAATGAAAAGAGTTCATCTTATGCTCTTTACAGCTAGTTGGTCTTTAAAAAGTTTCCATATATTTTCAGAACATCAGTTTCCAGTTAGAGTTCACAAAATGCCATCAAATAGTAAATTACCACAAGACCTCATCAGAATGCATATACAGGGCCAGAAATTCTGTCTAACTTCCAATGTACCTCCAAAGATATTACAATGTTGGCAGATCTCAGATCTGAGAAGATTTGGTACTGTAGAGGGTAAATTTCTATTTGAAGGTGGATCTCGTTGTAACAAAGGTAAGTACAGTGGTGCCCTGTAAAACTTCATGTCGACAATCTGAAATCCCTGATATTAGCACGATTTTTACTTGGACACTGAATACTTCTTATATAAAATTACTTATTAATCTAGGATAATATCGTTATGTTTAGACAAGGTTTGCAACTTGGATGAGCAATGGCCATTTCTTCTAAAGCCCCGGTCCCACATGCCTTTACTTCAGCCTGGAGTAACCCTGGACAAAATACCCCAGTATATCCCGGACCACCCCCCGGATTTTGAATCTTGGATGAAGATAAAATTCAGATTTTAAGAAATACAGTAATCTGATTGGTTAATTAATTTAAATAATATTTTAATTAATTACTAGTCAGGTGACTTCTACAAGATTGAGATGAGTCAAGCAAAATATTCGGTCAAATTATGCAGGGAGAAAAAAGGCTGAGACTGAAATTGGGAAACACCTCTGGTAAAACAGCATGGTGTTACCAGTCTATGTATCAGAAGTATAATAAGATACTGAGAAATATAAAAAGTTTACAGCATGCATTATGTTATATTGTTATATTTGTTAGGAGCTGGTCTCCATGCTTTGATATCAGAACAAATAGAGGATATTGGTGAAATTATTAGATTAGCTGCCATGGGAAGAACCAGCAGTTGTCAACGCATGGCTGATAAAAGAGGTAAGTAGAAACAGTACAGTTTGTTCAAGTTGACATTGACAGCAACTCCCCCCACCCCCTCAAAAAATTTCTTTTGGCGTTGTTAAAGGATTCCTGACACATTTATCTGTAACATAAAATTTGAATTTTGGAAGAGGTTAATCAAATATGAGATCCCTTTGGCAACATGCTTGTCATGCTTTTGCTTGTGGGACTTTGAAAAGTGCATTTACATGTATTTCATATTTAAATTGATATTACAAATAAATGAAATACTTTCATATTTAAATACATATTCAATGTCAACTTGATTAGATTTTTATGGCAACAAAACTTTTAGCTTACAATTTCATGGATTCAAAAAGATTTTTCGTACCACATGTGGTGACAATTTCTTGACGAGTTCTGTTTGTCAACAGATGATTCACAAAATGAGACAAAATTTTGTTGCCCATAGATACCATGTTATTCTGTGCATTTCAATTGAATTTAGATTGCTTGAAATGAAATGATAGATTTTCTGTTGTATTTTCTCTGTATATTGAAAGATATTATTGTATCTGTATATAAAGACAACTCAGATTCAAAAAATGGATTAAATCTTTGAAATTCAAATAGTAATGCCATCAATAACTTGCTGACCCTGGTCTCTGATAGATATATTGAATTTATCTGATAAGGATCTGCAAGATTTGACCTCTTTCTGGTCTTCAATCAGATCAGCATATCATTCACAGAACATCTTTCATTTCTGAGCAAAAGTTGGAGGAGCTTCATTATTAGTCCAATATCTGTTTTATGAAATAATGTTACATGCAGTCCATGCATTGAACACCAATTGCAAATTTTTGATCAGTCCATTTAATGCAGCTCCAATTGCTCTGTGTATTTTGAATGATTGTTAATTCTAGTATGATCTGTATTTTGCATTTTCTGCATTGTTTATTGAATAGTTTTAATTCATGAATAATTATAATCATATATCATGATCATCATCCTAAACATTTTTCCTAATCATGCATGATCCATAACTCATACTCATAAGCTTTGAAGATGCTTTTTCTTGAAATACCACAAAGATGTGTTTTATTGGGCATTATTTGGCTCATTACACACCACACACAAATTTTGAACCTTTGATATAAATAAAAAAATCTGTTAATAAAAACCTCGTCCAAAGTATGACAAAATGAAGAGTAGAAATTGTCTAGGAGTGGACTCCCCCCAAGAGTAGTACGATCGGGTGTTTCGAAAAGAGTAAACATGCTTCTCGTGCCACTACTATATAGTTCAACATCACGAGATACAATCAGATCATTTTCTAAAATTAATTCGAAATTTTCCTATTCCAAAAGACAGCATCTCCAAAATGTCTCATTCATCTGTTTCTCCTCCTTCCAAACTGATGTGAAAGATTGCCTTCACTTTTAAGTCTTTTGCTCTATAAAGGCTGAAAAAGTTTGGTCTTCAGATAGCAATTGTCCATTATGTAGGTAATAATTCTAATATTAATGTGTATCATGTTTCTCTCAGTAGAAGTAGTGTTTTGTTTGTCTTTTATCCTATTGTTGTAATGAATATGATTCATTTGAATTGTCTAAAACAATTATAGCTGCTTTCCATGTCCGTGTAGTTTAGATAACTTTGTATATTAATACTGCAAGAGAAAAACGTTTTGTAAGTTTTGTAATGGTACATGTGATTTTTCCCATGTACAGACCCATTAGAAAATTTTGTTCCTGCTAGTTTAGAGAGAATGTTCATGTTTTGGAATGATATGGAAGAGATTCTTCTTCATTTAGTATCTAACACTAGTAGAACCAATGTGGAATGTTCCAGACCAACCTGCATGCATTATATATACGTAGACCAGACTTGAAGATTGTGGCATGATGTAACAGCAAGTCCTAATTTTGGAATTTGTTTTCTTTGATGCAGGATCCAAGTTCAGTGATGCCTTTGACTCCTTCCATACCTTCAGCAACATCTACAATAACAACCCATTAAGGCCGGAAGACCGTCCTAGTCCTAGTGGTAATGATAACCTCAACGAGACAGATGAGATGGGATTCCATAAACGTCACTCCATTAGCGTGATGGATTACAGAAGGATGGCAAGTCTGTCTGAGAAGTTCAAACAAATGGGAATGGAAAATCTTGAAAGACAGAGGATGATGGCAGCTTATGATATTCCTCCTAAACTCATCCGGGAAGTTTTTAGACAGAACTCTGCCCCAAACAACAATACCAGGAAACCAAACACCAATCGTTACTCTGTCTCTTGCTCTGAGTTAAAATCTGGCAACAGTGATCTGTCTCGCTTGTTATCTGATAATCTGTCTCAATCATTTAATAATCATATTTATACCAATACACCATCATCACCAAACAGAAATTTCTCCTCAGATGCTAGTCCAGGCAATTTCAACCATAATTATCAGAAAAATAAACCTTTGACCATCAATCCATTATGCATTATTGAAGATGAAGCAAGGACTGCTTTTGATCGATCCAAAAGGATGGAAGCAATGCAAAAACTCCAGAAGCAAGAAAATGACCTCCATAAAGAAATTTCACTTTTGGATGAGATTCTTTTAGTCTGTAAGAAAGATGATCCTGCTGCTCAGATGGCTCGAGAAAAATTCAGTTTCTCTGAAAAAGCTTCTAGTCTCCCCAACAAATCCAAAAAAGAAACTGATACTTCATCAAAATCTGTTCACTCTTCCACTGAAAGTTCTCATAAAGCGTCCTCAAGTCATACAGACTTAACCAAGGTGAAGAAGAGAACTAAAATTTCTGCTCCTTTACCCTATGTTAATCTGTCAGAGTTTGATGTTGGTGAAGATAATGGACATGTTCATCTTAGTAAAGAAGGTTTAGTTACCGGAGCTAGTACCAGAAGTCTTAACAAATCTCCAGTACCCAGTACAGGAAGTCCAGCAAAAAGATCCAATGAGTCCTTAAATTCATCTCGGTCTTCTGATTACCACAATCAACTTACTCCAGCATGGATCAGGGAACCAATTTATGCTAATGAACCTCCTCCAAGACCAGAAACACCCCCGCCAGAACTTCCACCCAAAGGACCAGCGTTGTTGCGGAAAAATAGACTTAGTCGAAACTCAACATCATTTTCAGCAAGTACACCACCACCTATACCGCCCAGTAGAAATCGCAGCAGATCTCTAGGATCACAAGGCAAAAATGGTATCAACAGTACTAAGAATCAGTCATATGACCAAGTTGTACCCGTGCCTGTACCAGTACCATCCAAACCAGTAGTGGAAGATACTTATTTAATGATGGGAGATTTCCCTTGTGAACCAAGAGAAAGAAAGAAGTCAATAACATACAATGATTCCCAGGATCAGCGCAGATTGTCTAAAGGCAATGCAGATGTAATGAGCTGCTACATGGATATGGCAGCTATGTTCCAAAAAGAATCATCATCATATGTAAATAAGGAAATTAGGAACAGAAGTCCCATCTATGATACAATTGATTGCCCCACAGAACAAGCTCCAGCACCGCCCATTAGAGAAAGCAATTATATGGTTATGGAGGCCAAAAACATTCGTAAGAGATCAGTTTCAGAAGAAAAACCAGTCAATACTCCATCAGCGTCAGTGGAAACTGGAAGTCCAATAATCACAAAAAGGAACTCAGTCATACAGAAATTGCAAACTCTACAGACTTATGTGAGTACTACAAAGGCTGGAGAAGCTAAAGGCTCCCAAGTTACTCCAAAACCAGTTATGCCTTTTCAGAATCTTATAGACTTCCAGCCACAATACAAGAAACCTGCTGGAGTTTATGTTAGCCATATTTCAAATCAACCCACAGCTCAAGATGAAGCTACTGCATCTCCAGAACCAACTACTAAGGAAGGTTTTTTAGCACGTTTTAAGAGAAGAAACTCCAAAGATCAGAAGGCAACTCAAAGTACTGAAAATTTGATGTTTAATATCAAAACATCTAGATCTAATATCTTAGAGAAAAGTCATTCTGAAGATTGTGAATCCATCAAATCATCAACTTCAAGCAGTCCAGTGAAGATCATTCGGCAGAGATCATCTAGTTTTCCAAACAGAAGAAGTTTCCAAGAGGAGGAGATAGAAACCGACAAGTTGGTCAATGAATCCTTAAGAGCAGATTCTTTAAATGATGAGGTCTTTACTCAATCAGAGAAATCTAAGGAACCTTTAGAAACATTTCAAAGCAAATCTTCTATTAAGCTGAACAGTTCCAATAAAACAGAAATCCAAGAAGATGTTAACAAAGAGATGAGAGTGTTAACAGTTCTCCATGTGCAGCAAGATCCTCCAACCAAGAACCTTTACTCCCATTTTGATTCTTCCCAAACAGATGATGAAAAAATGATAGCTTTGTTGGATGACACAAGTCTAAAGAAACCAACCTACACTTTTATGTCAGAATTAAAATCCAAGCTCACGTTGTCTTTGTCCAAAATTGGGTATGAAGGTGTATATCCCGAAGAGGTTGCTCCACCCTTACCACCTTTTCTACCTCCCAAAAATTATAAACTGTACCCCACTTTGTCACCAGTGGTAGAAACAACACCTTCTTCAACACCACATTCAAATGAACAGGAATCCATTTATGTAATGATGAAAGAGCCTAAGAACAAGCGGACATCCACAGCACCACCTCAACAAGGGACCAAAGCAGTTGATGTGGACTCTGATAGTGATCCCAGTGATATTTCTAGAGATAGTCTCACAGGTATGTCTGGTGCTTCATCTTCTTTAGAATCAGATCAAAATATGGTTGTTGAAGGTCATAACTTAAGCACTTTAAAATGGTTTTCATATCGTTTCATAAGGATGTTTTTTTTTAAATTATTTTTGGCTTCATCATCAAAAATGGTGTGTAATCATTAGTGTTGCAATCTGACTGAATAAACATTTTCAAAAGCTTTTAATTATCTGAGACAGATGAGGAGATTATTGTAGAGGTCTCTTTACATCATTTGTGGTATGGGAGGGGGGGAAAGCAATTAAGAAATGGTTGGTCTTTTAGCTTGGGTAATTGTTTCCTTTTAATCTGTGATTTCAGAAAATTGATGTGACAATTCTGAAGTAAAGGTATTGAGCTGTCTTTCTTGATTGCCCTTTTGTTAAGACTAATTATTTTTCAACCCTTTTGTTAAGACTAATTATTTTTCAACCCTTTTGTTAAGACTAATTAATTGTTAGCATGTCTTTAAACTGTTAAACATGATGCACATTAATAATAGAAATTATTTTATTGATGTCATCTCAAATTGTGTAGAACTGTAGAATAGATATAGTGGAAGCTGTATAGTGAGTGATATGTATTAAAGGGATTGTAAAGAGGTCTTGCAAATTTTTTTTCTGTGTGTCAGGGGCACTGACAACATCAATTTGCCCCATTTCAAATCAGAGGTCTGTCGTTCCTGCAATTCCACTAAAACTAAGTGTTTGATGACGTCACTGATGCAAAGGACCTTCCTTGCGTGATAAAGCATGTTTTGAGATAACCCCTTTACAATCCTTTAAAAAATGTTTATGAACAACAAATTAAAAGAAATGAAGAAAATATTTTTCTGTCAGTATATTGAAATGCCATGATGTTTAAAACATGAAAAATTTTCTTGGACTGCATCAACTTGTTCCTTATTTCAACCAGCCTATAAAGGCTCTGATATATTTGTTAAGAATTTGAATTATTTCACACTTATGATAAACAAACTATTCCTGCCTTGTATGTAGAACATATCTATAATATAATTCTTCAGTTATATTGATACCTTACTAATCATTTAAAACAATATTAATTCTCTCTATTATCTACACTTACTTATCATTTGTCCCTCTGAACCCAATCTATGGCCTACCATTATAAAGCATGTTTCCTCTCCACAAATATTCTCTTTGCATGTTTTGACAATATCTTTCTAAACTGTAGCTATCACATTTCATAGATGTTCATTATTCAAGTTTCATTTTGCGATTGTAACATTCAGAACCCTAGATTTTTCTTATTCTGTCATTGTAACATTCATTACCCTAGATTTTCATTTTGCCATTGTTACATTCATTACCGTAGATTTTCATTTGCTGTTGTAACATTCATTACCCTAGATTTTCATTTTGCTGTTGTAACATTCATTACCCTAGATTTTTATTTTTTCCATTATAACATTCATTACCCTAGATTTTCATTTGCTGTTGTAACATTCATTACCCTAGATTTTCATTTTTCCATTGTAACATTCATTACCCTAGATTTTCATTTTGCCGTTGTAACATTCATAACCTCAAAAGATGCTGATGTATTTTTTTTCAACATTTTTTTTCATCACTAGATTTTCCGTGATATTGACCCATATAGTTCATGTTTTCTTACCAAAACTTTTATTTTGTATTTTAGATGATATCAGTTTAACAGTTTATCAAAGAGCTCTTCTTCAATGTAATCATTTGTTAGTGTCCGTGGAAGACATTAGATCACGCTTAGAACAAGATGATGATATAGTGTCGTTATCATCTAATGAATATCTAGATACAAACAATTATTCTGACTCTATGATAGAGAGTAGCCCTGCAAAAACTGTCTTACGGCCACGTTTTGGATATGAATATGCTATTATTGAAAGGCGTACTGCATCAAGTGAATCTTCAAACTCACCTACTAGTCCCTCTACCAATTCCGTGTTTACTTTTGATATCCATGAACCTGGTGCTTCCAATGTGGAAGGAACTGGTACTATACGTTCCCCGATCACTAATAAATCCAAAAGCAGTAAAAGTGATGATTCAGTCCCCACATCTCCGTGGATTCCCTTACCAAATAAGTGCCTTAAGAAACAACTCAGCACTGCCAGACTTCGTGATAGGACTAGAAATGATAGCGTATCTAATAGTGATAGTGCCCCTGCCAAAGAGCGTCACAGTAGTGTATCCTCAACACAACGTAGTGATAGCATATCGCGGAGAAGTAGTGTTTCTCGGAGACGTTCAGAAAGTTCATCTAGAACTAGCAGACGTCGAACTAGTAGTGTACGATCAAAATACGGTACTGATACTTCTAAACCTTTATTAAAACGATCAGAAAGTTATCATCAAGAAAGTGATAGTGATTCTGAAAGTGTCAATATTTCCCTCCATGGTATCTCTGAAAGTGTCTCGTATCGTAAAGACATCACATCCAGTTCTGCCTTGCGTTTGATGGAAGGAACGGGGAAAAAAAGTGATGTATACTTGCATTTATGGGATACGAAAGCTGGAAAGTCAACATCGCCTAAAGCCTCGGTTAGTTCTGAATCACCTCCTATTTCTCCTAAACACGCCTTTTTACAACCTTTGACCCCTATCAGTGATGATCAGGAGGAATTGAACTATCTGGTGATGGATCTAGGTCCTCCTTCAAATTCTCTGACTAAACCAAAGAAATCAGTGCCAAAATCATCTGAAGATACTATAGAATATTCAAGTATAGACATGGTGGCCACTGTTGCCTTAAAGGAAGCGGGTAAGGAACATGCTCAAGATCGATGTGACAGTTTACGGAGGACTAGAAGTGTACTTTACAAAACACCGTTATCTCATCATACCAGTTTGAAAGAGCGGAAAGGATCTTTTACTTTTGGTAGAGACAGAAAACACAGTGCAAGTAGTGCTGTGGAATCATAGCAGTGTCTCATATTTATTAATCATTTTTATATGTATGTTCATTGAAACAATCGGTCACACATCTTCCAGTACAGTCCAATCCTACAGCTTTCAAATATTCGTATTCTCGAAACGATCTTAGCACTCGCTAGGATATCCTACAAAAAGTGGTAGTAAGAATTTAAGACCCTAGGACATCCTAGCGATATGTATTGAGAATACTCAACCAGAATTACAAATGGAACCTTCTAAATTCTTAACAATGTGAGCGCTTACAATATTGCTTGAATTTTTTTAGAAATATATGGTCACCTTAATTGTCTGATCAGGTAATTTCAGCTACTGTATCACTTTTCAATGTTGAAATCTGTTGTTTGGTTCCTCTGTAATTGAAAAAATAAATAGCATAGTAGTATTGAGGCAGTTATTACCTATATGGGCGATCATTGATGATATCCTGAAAACTATTGTCGTGTTTACTGTCACATTTTCTTTGATTACAAACTACATGTCAGATTTTCTTTCTGAAAAATGATACAGTTAGCCCCATTCCTCCAAAATTAGCTGAGAAAGCATTATACAGGTTAAATATTTATAATGATGAATCTGTTTTTTCATTATTCATTTTCATCTTTTTTTCAATCAAAGCAAAAGGACTGAATATGTTGTATTTGTGAATCAAATTGGCTTTACATTATAATACTCTTAATCAGATTTGTAACAAAAACCCACCTTGGTTATCTTGAGCCAGAAACATCATAACTGAACATTCACCTAACACTGTAAGTTGGCAATAACCACAATAACTTGTAGACGAAAAAAACTATTCTTTTATCAATACAGTATATTATGTAATCAAAACTACTTAAGGATTCAAAAGAGGTTTTCTTTTGTTCATTTGTGTATCAAAGGTATTTGTTACAATGAAAATATAATTCCATCATCAATTTTTCTGCAATGACATGATTACAAATGGAGTATTGTAATGGTGCTAATAGAACACTCAATTTTTCTTACACACTTGCAAAAATTAGAAATCTTTCTAAAATCTTAAAGTTAGGCGAATTTAATGATGTTTCTAGCACTACTAGAAGGCTGATCTCTACTTACAGTATATACAAATAGATTGAAATAAACAGTGAGCTGCAGAATTGAACAGAATAATAACAAGTTATATTTTATACTACTTATATACAAAAATAACAGGAATTGTTTTTTTACAACTTAACTTACAAAACATATCTAGATACAATGTCTTCTGCTAATTCTTTTTATTTGTATTCTTACCCTAAATTACTTAAATTATATGAAATATGGATGGGTCTTTGTTTTTGTACTACTTATCACAGAGTCAAAACCTTACAATTAATTCCACGATCTGACCAAAATGGTTGTTTAATTCCGCTAAGAAAATGGCATCAGTAGAACAAAAAAGTCCAACAGAAAATTTTAAATATATAAAAGAAAATCTATACAAAATTTCAAAGTCTCTTGTATTATAAGATCTATGATCAATTGATGTTATTAAAGGGACAGGTAGGCCATTTTTTTTTACCAATCATACTTTAGTCTCAGAAACTGGAATTTTTTAACCAAGCTAATCAGTAATAGTATTCACTGCTCACCTGCGAAATTTGAGCCTTCAAATCCATGTATCAAGAATTATCTGTGTTTGAATTTTAAAATGACAACTCTTCAATTTAAGATACTCTGTTAAAAAATTCCTAGTTGGAAGTATTTTTAAAGGATTTCTAGTACTTCTGAAGACTATTTACATCTAAGACTGAAATCAACCCCCCAAAAATGGCACACCTCCCCCCTTTAAAGACAGGTTTCAGTTTGGCCAGCAATTTTCTCTAGATCTTTTAGTTCTTACAACTTGAATCCTTTTAGTCTTATGTACATCCTACACTACCAAAACGGATCAAATGAAATTCCATCTGTAAATCCAGTTTTAATTTCTCTTACTTATTTTTTACCCAGTGTGAGGGCTTTATATATGTATTTTAATTGTATTGTTATAGTTGTTTATTATAGAAAGTTTTTTTTAACTTTTTTCAAAGGTTCAATAAAGGAAATGACATGTCTTTTTCATGAATTTGGTCACAAGATGTGTTTTTTTTTTCGATAGCAAAACAAAAGTAAAATTGGCATCACTATCATGGAATACTTTTAGTTTCATGAAAAAGGACACGTTCTGAAATTTCAAACTTTGTGCCTCTATGAAAATGATAAATTTAGGTAAATAAATGATTTTCCTTAAAGATTATTGTCTGAGCAAAGTAAAAAGTCTTTTGAATTTTTTCTATCATGTTTATGAGAATTGGAATATCAGCTTCAAACTAGTATTTAGAATGTCTTTGCATTATGTCTTCAAAATTTGTTTTTACAGAGGACAATTTTCAGCCAAATTTTGTGACTTTTTTGGGTTGAAATTTCTAGGAGAGTGTTTCTTTTCAATGTAAACTTACAAAAGATTATATATTTATCAAGGCAAAGACATTCTAAGACTACCAGTACTGTTATGAGGCTGGTATTCTAATTCCAAAAACTTGTTGATTTGCTCAGACAATAAGAATTAAACGTGACATTTCCTTTAAAAACTCTAGTATTTAAAGACTGTAACCTTCAAGGTTGTGTTGTTGAAGTCCCCTTCTTAAAAGACCTCACAACAATACTAAGTGGACTAAGTTCCACTTCAACTAACAGCTAGCTACTGACTGAAAATTGCAATTTCAGCTAGCTGCTTCTGTTCGATTTTCTTCTAAAAATTGGATCTAGTTTTTGATCTTCGTAACTTGTGACTATCCAGTGTCAACAATTTGATCCAGTAAAACAGTGTGTGAATCACTACTCCATGAGCTCCTCGTACATTTAGTTTCAATAAGTAATTTTAATATTTGATAAACATCAGCCCTTTAACTCCCTAATTTTCGTTGGTAATTATTACCATGTTTGTTTTGTTTTTGTGAACCTTTCTAGGGATAAGGGAAGTATGTTTATACATGGAATACAGCCTATAATTGGATTAAAGGGATTGTAAAGAGGTTTTCTAAAATATTTTTTATGTTTATCGCGGACACTGATAGTATCAATTAGCACCATTCTAATTTTCAATCAGACGTCTGTGTTATCTCCAATTCCACTAAAACTAAGTGTTTGATAACCTCACTAATCGCGAAGGCCTTATGTGATACAAGCATATTTCTCAATTAGAGATCTGATTGAAAAAAAGAATGGTACAAATTGATAAAAAATTTAGAAAACCTCTTTACAATCCCTTTAAGTAGCTGACTAGGCAATGTTTGCTTATAATCAAATGTCGTGACATGTTTCAATTTATATATCCAAACTGTTCTTTCCCATTTCATGCAGTATTGTTTTTAATTTGAAATCCTCTCAACCATTTGAGACTAATGAATTGGCCTATTATACCTACAGGGATACAAATACAATCCATATTTTTTACTATCATTTCTCATTATTTATTTTGTATCATCTCAGCTGACATCAAATATCATTTTGTGTCTTGAATTAATGCTTTGTAAGTTAAGTGCATAATAAAAATGTTTTCAAAAGTGATATATTTCTGAGTTTTTGTGTTTTTAAGGCATTTAGGCTCTCTGGCAATAAACACATACTGTGGCAAGGCCTATTAAACAGCCTTGTGGAAGCTCAAAATAAAGCTTAACCTTTTAGCATCTGTAACAATTTGTTATATACTTGATACTTCACATTTTGTTAATGATTCTGTTTACCTAAAATTTTACTATTTAAGTTTGTAATAAGTGTTGAATTTGACAAACACATATGACATAAGTTTATCAAAAAATTGTCTCAGACACCCCGACTACATCTTTTGTTGCAGCTATGCATAGATAAAGGCAGACTAAATGCAGCCCCATCGTTAAGGTGGGGGCTGGGCCCCAGCATGTGAGAATTAAACCCTAACAAAACCCTCTGTTCAGATGAGATTAATTCATTTCATTTATACAAAATCAAAAAGATATAGATTTTGTTACATTTTTGGCACCTCAAAATTGTCAGAAATGACATTCAGGCATTATCTAAGGGAGATAATCATATCTAGATCAGATTGAACAGCAGACATGGGTAGGAAAAAAAAGAATGACAAATTTATTGCAACTATTTTTTTTTTATTTTCTTCTTTTTTATCGTCATTCTTAGAATATTTCTGAAAAAGTAATAGGTAAAGTAAAATCATTTCATTACACACAAATTTCACCACACACACCATCCATGGTATTAAAATCACACTTTTCATTCACACTTCAGACACAGTTTTTACCACATTCATTTCACACACAGTTAAAATCACACTAAAGAACAATTGACACCCTTAAAGCAGATGACAGCACTGACCAAAGCAAACCTAGATTTCAACTCTCCTCATCAACCACATTTCTAGCACTAGACATCTAAAGCATACTCTAGCACCTTTTCAATAATTTCTAATTTAAAGCTTTGAAAAAACTCATCAAATCTCGCACACTTCTATCAATCTACCTCAATTTATTTAAGGTCACATGGACCATATGAACCATAATACATCAAGCAAATATTCTGACTAATGACATATAGACAATCTATGTTTAAATTTTCTTTTGTCAATATAACCTCTTATGCTATCATTCATACATACAATATCATGCAAAAAATATAACAAATAAATATATACCGGTATCAAAAATATATCAACAATATCACAGTATATGGCAGGAATAACAAATATATATTTCAAATTGGAAGGATCATTGGATAACTTAAAGGAGTTGTAAAGAGGTTTTCTAAATTTTTTATGTGTAACGGGGACACTGAAAGCATTAATTTTGCACCATTTCATTTTCAATCAGACGACTGTGGTTCCTGCAATTACACTAAAACTAAGTGATTGATGACATCACTACTTGCAAAATATGCTATTTCACATCAAACAAACACATCACATTAGTTTTAGTGGAATGGCAGGAACAACAGACATCTGATTGAAGATTGGAATAGTGCAAATTGATGCCTTCGCAATACACATAAAAAATTTAGAAAACCTCTTTACAACTCCTTTAATTAACTTTAAAACAACAAATAATTAGATTAGGATCATTAATATCTTTGGTAAACAAGCACAAAATAAAAACAACACCTTACCTGGAAGACGATCTGGAAGAAATGGAAATCCAATATTGCACAAAAGTAAACAATCATTAATATGGATATATAATGGCAAAACAATAAATACACCATTTTTCCCATCAATGTGAAAGCTTAACGATTAATATTTCCATTATCATTTGGTTATCACATTAGTGGTTGAAATTTTCTTCACTTAGCAGAAACAATCAGTGAAAAGAAAGCAAGTTAATTTGATTCATATTTCCACCCTGCGTTAAGTGAAACTTAGTGTTGTTTACAACTGAATCAATAGGCAAGTTAAGGCCATAAAAAAACACTAAGCTTTCATCTGAATGCAGAGTAGATCTAGATCTGAAATGCAAGGAAACTAATGCAGAACTACTCTTAACACCAGAGAAATGAATCTAATAGGCAAAACAAAATTAATACATTTTATCTTCACCTATTAAATTCAATTTCTCTGGGCTTTAAAAGATAGTTGCCTTATTATTTTGCTTGAACAGTTGACAGAACTTGATCACTTGGTGGAAATTAAGTGTCAGCTATAAAAGCAAATAATAAAGTCCTTGCAAAAATGTCTTCATAATTCGGCATAAAATGACAATTATTATTGCACTTATTTGAGAATTATTACATTAATAGCTTCACTATTTTATTACATATAGAGCATCTTATTACAATAATATTTACATCAAATGAATATTGTGAAAATTATTTACATATGACACATTTTATTTACAAAATAAGTTTAAATTGAGTACCTTTACTCAAAATTTGTAGGTCACGTATTTTTGCAAAAATTTTACGTAAAAAATTCTCAATTTGATCCCTGATTTGATATCATTGGAATAAAAATTCTAATTTATTAAAAACTTCAAAAGATCAGTCATTTCTTAAGTCAAGTTCCTCCAGTAAATATTCTTAACTGGCAAAATGATGACCAAAAAGTCTAAATCATTTTCAAATCACCATGTCACACTTAACCAATTTTCAAATTAATTTGCAAAAGAAATTTGATATTAAAGTCACTAAAAAAGCATTAAGCACTTCTTGATCTTCTCAAACATTAACCATAAACAGAACCTGAAATAAAATAAAAGGCAAACATCCATTCAACCAAATATTTCCTTATCTTTCTGAATCTCAGCTTGTCTTTTTAATATAGCAGCATTCTTCTCTTTAATAATCTGGATACGTTTCTCTAAGTTATCATCATTTCCATCTGAAATGACAAAAGCGTGACTTTGATTTCAAAAATTAAATTTCATGACCAACTTTCCTGCACCATTTCTTGGCTAATGAAGATGGACAACACCATGCAATGTGCAATACAGGAAATTTAGTCAACTCTTTTTGATTTCCAACTGTCAAGGGATCTTTAATGTGCACAGCCTGTAGCAAACGAGACCTCTGTTTATTGTCCCATCTTTCCATATCAGCCCCTCAGACCTGCATCACTCACGGTGGAAATCGGTAAGAAAAATTAGAAGGTATTATCTTGACCTATGCAGGGATTGAACACTTGACCTTCGGGTTAGTGAGCAAACATTTAACTCACTGAGCCACCAATATCGAAATGAAGATATTAGCCATCTGCTGAAAACATCTAGTCTGTCATCTCCATCAGCTAATCTATTTATCAGAGAAGGGCCCTGCTCAAAAATCCTTTAAGTCTAGGAGGTCAAAATGTTCTTATAACTTGATATTACATTAGAAGATCCAAAATAGCAAGCAATGTTGATCATGTAAATGTAAAAGAACAAACAAGAAATCATCCCTACCTTCCTCTGGAGAATCATAATGAATTATGGACCTTTTCTTCTTTGACTTCTTCTCAAAACTATCTCGTCTTTCCAATTTACGGGAAGACTTGTCTTTAGATCTTTTGGATTCTTTTGTAGTCAGATTCAAAACTTTAGGTTCTGGTTCAGGTGATCTACCTCGTCTCAAATCTTCAGTTTTGATGGACATTAGACTAGGAACTTTTCTTCCCAGACGTTCATGAACAGATGGTTTCCTGGGTGAATCCGGTTCCTGATCTTCAAGAGTGACACTAATACCATCATTACGAATCACAGCTCTTCTGGAATTATCGTTTTGACCTTTGATGGCTTCAAGTAGGTCCCTTGCATCTCCCAAGCGTTCAGTTTTCAATTTCTTTTTTCTTGGCATCTCATCCATGTCGGTGATAACAACTCGCTTACTTTTGTGTCGTTCCGAACGATGTTTGTGATGTTTTCGATGTGATTTTTCTGGTACTGTTTCAGAGCATTCTACTTTTCTGATTGGACTAGTAATAATTGGTGCAGGACTATTCTGCTTAGAATCTGATGACAACACAACACTGATCAGTTTCTTGTCTTTAGCATCACCTTCTGAGTCTGACCCTCCAGACGCCACACCAGAATCTATTTTAGTCTTTCGATAATTGGAAGCATCAAATCCTCTATCAACATTGTCTGAAAACACATGAGAATCAGTTCTATAAATTTTCTTTGGTAACACTTTTGATTCCATGTCATTTGCCACAGATTTTGTTTCATTTCCAGGATCATCTTTAATAGCTTCCTTGTCCTTTCGAGATCTTGAAGGGGGTGATCCAGGCCTATCTCTTGTTCTAGGTCTGTCCAATCCACCTCTTGATCTGTCAAATCCTTGTTGATCTTTCTTTGATCTGTCAAATCCTTGTTGATCTTTCTTTGATCTGTCAAATCCTTGTTGATCTCTTTTTGATCTGTCAAATCCTTGTTGATCTCTTTTTGATCTGTCAAATCCTTGTTGATCTCTCTGAGATCTCTCGAATCCTTGACGATCTCCTTCTGATCTCACAAATCTTGGTCTTTCATGCTTATGTCGGTCAAAACCTGGTCTGTCAAGACGATCTCTCACATCAGTTTGCTTCCTTTTGTTAAGATGTTTAGTGTTGTTTTGTTCCTTACGCCATGATCTAGACTCTTCCTTGTCACTATCGCTGTCACTTAGTGATGATACTGACCCTTTTGAAGCATCACTATCTTCATTGTCATTATTTTCTTTTAATTCTTTTGATTTACGTCTGGATTCAGAATTGGACACCTTATTCTCTACCTCAGTCAAACGCTTTTTTGAGGAAGATTCTTCAGTTGGATCAGGTAATTTTTTGGCTCTATCCTTTGGACTTTTGGGAGAAGGTGACCGTTCTCTTGAGTTAGATTTTCGAACAATGTTTTTTAACGATATTGTCTTTTTCACTTCAATAGCACTACTTTCAAACTTTCTACGTCTTGCTTCAATTTTTCTCCTTTCTTCACTAGAAAGGACACGCTTTTCTTTACGAGGATCCAGTGAAGAATTACCAGACAAATTGTTCTTAGGAGATCTTTTGGACTGAGGTGATCTACGATGATATGCTCCTTTAAAGCCTAATGGTGACCTTTTTCTTCTTCTTGGATCAGGTGATCTTCTAGACCCTGGAGACCTCCTTTTCTTTAAACCTGGAGAAGGACTTCTTTTTTTACCAGATGGTGATCTACTGAAGCTTCTAGATCTTGTTCGCCTTGGACTGAATGATCTTCTTCTTCTTGGTGAACGACTAGATGATCTTCTACGCTCAAATGGACTTCTTCTTCTTGGACTGATTGACCTTCTTCTTGGAGATATTGAACTTGAGCGTTTTCTGTGTTTAGAGTCAGGAGACTTGGTATCTTTTGAACCTTTTTGGGAAGCTTCTTGTTTCCTTCTTTTTTCTTTGATTGACTGCAGATCTTTCAAAGTTTTTTGGAGATCATTTTCAATCATACGTCTACGGTCTTCCTTTTCTTTCTGTATTTCAGCTTTACTTTTTTGAGGCATCGGTTCAACAACAGGAGGCACCTGACTTTTGGCATTATTGGCATTTTTGACTGGCTTGTTCTCCTCATCACTACTTCCCTGATCAGACCATGACTTGTTCTTTTTTAATTTCTGCCTCTCCTTCCCAGACCGTATTCCTGAATCACTTTCACTATCTGACCAGGCATTGCTGACCTTTTTCCTCACACCACTTTTTGAACCTCCTATCAAGGTAGGAATAGATTTGGCCTCAGTCTTGGGAATTTCTGTTTTTGAAAGAGTTGAGGTGGACTTGTCGATGATTTTGGTCACAGATTTTTCTAGAGTTTTTGTTTTTAGCACTTTTTCATGAGTATTATCACTAATATCTGTCTTTTTGTCTTTAATTTCAGGACTATTTAAAATATTGTCAATTTGTTTTTCAATGTCATCACTATCTGAATCAGAACTTATGTCTGATGATGATCCCTTTTTCTCTGATTTTGCGTTACTTTTTGACTTGGGTGACACAGGTTTTTCATCTTCTGAGTCACTATTTTGTTTTGGCGATGGCAATGGCTTCTCTTCTTCAGACTCACTGTCACTACTAGAGGCGTCACTACTTTCACTATCACTGGAGTCATACCGGGAAAACTTACTTGGAACTAAAAAATAACATTTAAAAAATGAACTTTAGGCATTGCCAGTCTCACAAGCTTATACAAAATTTTAGATAACCATATTACTATTGAAATGGTTCTCCAGCAAGTATATTACTAGAAAATGCCACAAATAATATGGATACAAATTATTATTATGATTTGGATGTGATGTAAGTCAAGGGAATTATCAAACCAACTCAATATCATATACATAAACAGTCATATGCCTGAAAAGTATCAGTCCAACAAACATTTTGAGGTTGAAGCTATATGTAGAGAAATGTCTCCTGTGTACAAACAGTGCAGACTAATACATCTCATCCATCCATTTACCACAATGTTTGAATGAAAATTACCTTTAGGCTTGGATTCTTCAACAACTTGAGAGACAGATGTCCCAGTAGTTGGTGAGCACCATTTATCCTGAGGACGTAATAATACTGGTTTATCAACAGACTTCTTCTCACTAATAACAGGTTTCTGTGGTACATCTTGAGGTTCAGGATTGATAACTATCAGATTACTGGCTCTAGGCCTACTTCTTGGTTGACCCGATGCAACATTTTTAAAGTTGTTATGTACCACTTTAGGGAAGGATTGACTTTTATAAAGAGGTGAGTTGGAAGTGGGAATTGGTTGTGGAACAATTGGCTGAAAAATATTAATAGAATGCCATTGTAGAGAAATATGTCTCTTTCGAATTCAGTCTTTGTGAGGCCCAACACCAAAACTAGTTTAAGCTGCTTAATTAACAATTAACTCTGCTCCTTTCATTTATAATTTAACCATATTTCCTTTTGGACATTATTATCTTTATATCACAAAAGAAACTGTCTTTCCTAAATTGGGCCATATATAGGATTTTAGGAAATGAATGCATAATAAATGCTTTTTAAAAACTGAAATAACATGCAAGAAATATTTTTTTTATTAAGACTTGTGTTGTGGTTTAATTTCGTATAAAGAAATCTTAAATTGTACCATTGTTAAGGCTTACTTTTATTTTAACAATGAGGCATTGATAATATATTTTAAAACTTATATTATTTGATATTTTGTCTATTATCTGCCTGCCTTTGTCTTTTTTGCATATTTTGTGCATAAATACAACAAAAGTAACATATCCACAAAGATAAACTTTTTGTTCTCATTTAAAATTAATTTCTGAAAGACATTGTTGACCTTTGACCTTTGATATTTCAGAGAACTATTCAGAGATGTGCATAACATTTTGTTGCCTTGAAAATCTATGGCAAAAAAGAGTCAAATTCTAAATTGTGTGGCTAAAGTACTGGAAAATGAATATCAAGACTGATGTTAATTGTTTAAAGTGATTGTAAAGAGGATTTCTGAATTTTTTATGTGTATCGGGGACACTTACATCATCAATTTGCACCATTACAATTTTCAATCAGACGTTTGTGGTTCCTGCAATTCATTACTAAACTAAATATCACTTATAGCGAAGGGCCTAATGTGATAAGTATATTTCGCAATTAGTGATGTCTGATTAAAAATTTGAATGGTGCAAATTGATTCTATCAGTATCCCTGACACACATACAAAATTTAGAAAACCACTTTACAATCACTTTAATAACCTAAACAGGATCATGGCTTATGTCTAAATTTGTTAACAGTTTATTGGAAGTAAGAGACTGGAACTTGTTTAATAGGGAAAAAAATACAGGTAATTTACCTTTACTCCAGCACTTTCAATATTGGCAAGTGCAGCATGTCTTAATGCTTCCAAATCTGAAGAATTGTTCTTCTTGGGTTTAGGTGGAGATAGTTCTTTATCAACTTTCTGAAAGAAATTAAGCGTTTTGTTTAGAAATCATAAAATATATATACATGCTTAACTATGTTTCTGATGTATGCTAGATTCATTGGATTAAAAAGGAATTCTGTTTTATTTTTTTAATTATGACACCAGGTAAGTCCACTAATGAATATTAACCAAGTTTGTCTATTTGACTTTCATCTTCTTTTTCAGAGGTAAATACCTTGGAAGCTTTTCTAATGATTCAAAATTACCAATTCCAGGTTTATTGGAATAGTCATGTCTGAAATTCTACAATGTTCTCCGAAAGCCTGAAAAAGGAAAAATTGATAAGATTCCATCTCTCTAACAGACTCACCTTTTTCATAGACAATAAAACAGCTAATCTTAAAGCCTTTAATTCTTCATCCTGAAAAATATACATTCAATACAGTATAGTTAAGTTAATTTCGAATATCTAAAAATCAATGTTTTACTACTATTAAGGTAGTATTCCGTTCTGTAGGTTGATGACCTCGATCATCAATTCAGGAAAATGGTGCAGACTCTTCATCTATCGGTTTAAAGTTTGCAATTAATAAACCTACTGGGTGTTGACATTGATAGACTTGTGTTGATATATGTTTTGTGCGTAAAGTGTAAATTTGGTCAATTTCATTGCACTGTAATTTTTATGATAAATCTTGTCTGCACAGTGTAAACAAGAAACCAATAAACAAGTCGTAACATCCCGAGTAGACGTAGAGTCCATTACACTTACAGTCTATGAGTAGAGTCCATTACACTTACAGTCTATGATTTTGACGAAGCAAATACATGATTATGAATGATGACAAGGTCTTCATTAACATTTAATGTGTAGAAAAAATTAGGTCAAACATAATTAAACCCACTAATCCAAATTTCAGAAGACTTACTTAGCTAATAAAAGCTTGTCAAAGGGAAAACAGTCTGGATAAGGAAAGAGTCAGCGTAAGACTCTACCTGTTTCATAATTTTTTCAAACAAATTGAAACAAAAAGTGGCAATTTGAACTCTCAACATACAAAATAAATTAAATTTTTAGAGAAAACTAGTCTCTACTTTACGTTTTATCACAGATTTAGAGTTTATCACGGATAAATTAAGACACGAAAAAAAGAAAATAATTTTATACCTCGTCGTCGGAAGCCATTTTTCTTTTTTGTCTTGTTTATCCAGTCATTCTGTTGAAAAAGAAGGGTCTCGCACAAAATTATTCACTGTTCTTAAATACTGTATTAAAAAGTAATGCTGTAAATATGCTTTCATATACGTAAATGCATCAAACTTACTTACTCATAGATAAATTATATTTATTAGAGCGGTCAAATCAAAGAAAATTAAAAAAACAAAAATACCGGAAGTCAGCAATATTCCGCGCTGATTGGTCATGTACGAATTCGAGCCAATTTCAAAACTTCAGCATAATAAATTTATGTCAACAAAAACAATTCTTTGTACTGATTTCAATTGAAACTGTCACTGTGAATTTAATGTTGATGTAAAAGCGGTGGACATTGGTGAAATAGTTTGCACATGTAAGTATATTTGTTGGTTTGATCTTCTTACTTAGGATCACTGAATTTGAGCAAAGGAAATAACCGGAGCAGAAATTAGATATAGAGTTTTACGTCTTAGTCTTATTTTTCTGCACTTGATTTGGCTTTTGAAGACTGACAATAGTGACATCGACTTTGATTTAAAAACACATCACAGTCTAGCAGCAGTTTTATTGGCACTGTCAGTGCTAACATTGTGAATTAATGACAGTGTAACGGAAATTTGGACAACTCGGACCAAAGGCAAAACACACTCTTACCAAAGCATTCTCGGCATATCACGATTCTGACTAGGCTATTGTGAATGTAGTAAACCTTTTGCATGCAATTTATGTTGTTTATCCTAAGGCAGGAGTAGGGAATTAGTGTGTTCATTTTAGCTGTATTTTTACAGAGTTTCATGATTTGTATCCATCAAAATGAGTTCCCAGTATCCAGAATTGAAGGGTTTTTACCATTTAAGAGAAACGATTGGTTCAGGTAAGCTTATAGATTCTATGTTTCCATTTAACTACTTATATGCTTGGCGCTGACAACAGGGTTTTGTCAAGAATAGATTGTTTTGAATTAAAATTTTTGTTTGCAAAAAAAAAATGCTGCTTTTTGTTTCATGAAAACTGTTTCTGTTTCATTAAACAAGTTATAGGCTACTTAGCACCTAAGTCAAAATGGCTGATTAAATTCCAAATGGAAAAACCATAATCGATGTGACTCTCCAATAAAGTTTTTTTTTCTGAAAAATTTTCAGGTGGTTTTGCTAAGGTCAAATTGGCTTACCATGCCCTGACTGGTGAGAAGGTTGCTATAAAGATAATGGACAAAAGAGCTTTAGGGGTGAGTTGTCAGAAATCATAGATTATGTATTTTTACTTATGACTTATGAAATCATTAATAAATATGTAATGTTCATAGAACTCTAGACTGTTGTCACTGTTATGGTATTTTGGAATCAACAACATGTCTACCATAATTTAACATCACAGTATATCATAAACACCAGTGTTTTTCTCAGATATTAAACTTGGGCTTAGTTATGTTTATGCTTGCATTAGTACCAGGGTTATCTAAAAGTTCCAAAAGGGTAGTTGTGTTTAGAATCCTGAGTGTATACCCTTCCATGATAAACTGATTGGAATGATGTTATTTTTAGGATGATTTACCCAGAGTTAAAACTGAAATAGCAGCCATGAAAGAACTGTGTCAACAACACATCTGTAAATTGTTTCAAGTTTTAGAAACAGAAACAAGATTTTATATGGTTTTAGAGGTAATTTTCTTGTTTTTGTGTTTTTTTTTTCTAATTTGATAAAGTTAAAGGGACAGAATGATGCGCCATTCTCTTTGACCAATCATACTTTAGTCTCAGAAACATGATTGTTTTTTAGCTTAACCAATCAGTAATGGTGTTTACAGCTCACCGTCGAAATTTGAGCCTTCAAATCCATATGTGTCAAGAATTATCCGTGTTTGAATGTTTAAATGATGACTCGTCGATTTAAAATACTCTGTGATATATAGAAAAAACATATATAGAAATAATGAGTAAAATTCCTAGTTTAAGATATTTTTGAAGGAATTATGATTTTCATTCATTTCTAGTACTTCTGAAGTCTATTTACATATTTTCAAGACTCAAATCAACCCCCCCAAAATAGCGCATGTGTTCCTATAAGGAAGAAATTTGTAATGTCAAATAGTTGATAACTAGTATATTGAAATATTTTTTAATGCTGTGTAGTGCTTTGCAAAATTGTGAAGTTATGACTGAGTGTTGTGTGAAAACAAGTGCGAATGAATTACAAGCAGTTTTTTCAGGGTGCAAATTTGTGCTAATGTCCTTAAAACATTGATCTTGTTTTTATACTATTTGAAAATCACATGCCAGTCGTATAGGAATGGTGTTGATGATATTAACACACTCTGTATTTCAGTATTGTCCTGAAGGTGAACTGTTTGATTATATTGTGTCTAAAGATAGATTAGATGAAGCAGAGGCCAGAATATTTTTCAGACAAATTGTGTCTGCTGTAGCTTTTATACATTATAAAGGATATGCTCATAGAGACTTGAAACCTGTAAGTATTTAGTCTCTGATAGAAATACTTGGACATCAGGGTTGTTGATTCAGTTGTATTTTCTAAACATGACTGGCAAACATGCGTAAAAGTTGCTTTAATTGATTTTGAAATTGGTTGAAAGACATTACATAAGAATAGGTACATTATACAAATATAAATCTGAACTAGTTGTATCATTTTTAAAGGGACACTACCCAGACTCTTTTTTTCTCAAACTGAACGGATTCATGGCTTGCTCACTTTTTATTAAAATTATGATTATAGTTTTATTGTCGATTTTTGATAAAGTGTGGGATGCATACTTATTTAACCAATGGTCACTATTAAACACACATATTAGCCACAGGACGAGTGTATTCTAAGACGTAGTATCACTTTAAAAGCCTAAGACAGTTCTCCCTTGCAGATATTTCCAATATATTTCCTTGAAACATAAAATTTAGCTAGACTCTTGGAATCATGAGTCAATTTACATTGAATATATTTATTTCAGGAAAATTTACTATTAGATGAAGAACAGAATTTAAAGTTAATAGATTTTGGTTTATGTGCTAAACCTAAGGTTAGATTTCACTTTTTACATTGACAAATCAGCCAAACTAATGGTTCACATAGTGTTAGATGACCATTCTGAGAGTATTTTTCTCTAGAGCTCCCTCAGCACACTTTATTTGCAATTTGGTTGAAATATAACTCTTGTCACTGTGCTTATTAAGAATGAGGGGGTAATAGTGCATGATCTCATCTGAAGTCGCTTACAACTTTGTTAAAAACAGTCTGGTATATCCAAATAAGTTTGAATTCTTGCGATAACAAAGTTCTTGTTGTATTCTAGGGTGGTATGGAGAATCATTTATTTACTTGTTGTGGTAGTCCAGCCTACGCAGCACCAGAATTAATCTCAGGAAAACAATATCTAGGTGCAGAGGTAAGTCAATAATTAACCTTTTATAAAATTATCTCTTAAAGAAATAGTCTTATAACTAATAGTTGTACCATTTTCAACTGTACCACTTTTTATGGCTTGTTGTATGGCTTATTTAAAATTACAGAAATACAATATAAATATTAAGTTAAAGCACACGTCTTTACAAATTTTCCAAACTCGTCTCGAAATGTACTTCAGTAGCAACACAGGCTGAAATAGGTCAGTTGTTTGAAGATCACATAGCATGAAACTCTGAGTAACAACATGTTTTTTTAGGTTTTGTTTTAATAGTTCTAAATTTGAAGTTTATGTATACAGACAGTTACTAGAATTCTTCTTGCAGACTAAAGTCCATAATTGACTGTCCATTTAAATATATTTTTCAATATAGCTCATCAATGGAATGTTATGTTTGAGATATTGTATTTATTATATCTAATGTTATATATCTAGGCTGATCTATGGAGTATGGGTGTACTGTTATATGCTTTACTATGTGGTTATTTACCTTTTGATGATGAGAAAATACCATCATTATACAGAAAAATACAGGTAATCTCCAATCTTCATCTAGCCCCACAAGTAGATAAAGATTTCCACAATCTTGGAAAAGACTGGAATAAGAATAAGGGACAATCAAAGAATTGGCAAAACCATGTGAACAAAAATCGGAATTAAACAGGAATTTTGTTGGAAGGGTGACTCCTGTGAAGGGCAAAAAAAGGTAAAATTTGGGAAGTTTTGAAACGGAAGAATTAAAATAAGGGAACCCATCTTTAAATATGGTGAAATGGGTTATTTTTCAGAGTGGTAAATACGATGTACCAGATTGGCTCTCTCCAGAAAGTTCTATATTAATAGCTCAGATGTTACAAGTAGATCCTAAACGTAGAATCTCTATACAACAACTTATAAATCATCCTTGGTTGAGGAAAGGCTTTAATATACCTTGTGAATTTGAGAGCAAATATAAGGTAGGCCGTTATATATTTTTTCTGTGGTTTGCTTAAATGAGAAAATATAATAGTTTATATCTATATCTTCTATCTTAATGTACTTTGCCCAAGAAGACATACAAAAAACAACAAATTTGGCTACATCTATACCCTGGTATGTCCTTCTCATTTTTATAAATTCAAATAGATTTAAGTTGAAATTGGTTTTTTATACATTTAATCCTGTATGAAATTGGCATTAAATTGAAAATCTAGATGTATTTGAGTTGTAATGCCATAGAACACAACCGAAAGAAAATTTTTGTCAGATCATGGATGGTAGGTCGAATAACCTGCAGAAAAAAAAAACTTCACAAATTTGAATTTATCTTATAGGAAACAGAGTTTGTGTTCTTTTCTTTTTCCCAAGTAATGAAAATTTGCTATCACTAAGAATTAATCTTATTTTAACTTTTTGATTCCTGATAGTCTACATTAGATGAAGATTGTATAACAGAATTAGCAGTACATTATGGTAAAACTAGAACAGAAATGGAAGAGGATGTTTCTAAGGTAAGACATTATTGGCATTTTTGGTCTTGAAGATATGTAAATAGTTTTCAGAAGTACTGTAAATGTATGAAAATTGCATAATTCCTTCAAAAATATCTCAAACTAGGAATTTTACTCATTATTTCTATATATGTCTTTCCTACATGTCACAGAGTATCTTAAATTGACAAGTCGTCATTTTAACATTCAAACATGGATAATTCTTGACACACATGGATTTGAAGCCACAAAATCCAGACAGTGAGCTGTGATCACTATAACTGATTGGTAAAAAAATAGCTCATCTGTCCCTTTGAGGATAGGCTACCTCATAAATTGAACATAAAATTTGAACTCTCAAACTTGGCCAATAAGACCATATATGTATTCATCAATGGACTTACCTGATATCATAACTAAGGTTATACACCACAATCCCTCTATAAGCCAAAACACCAGAGGGATAGTGCTGTATAGTTTAATCCTCTCTACTCTTATTGACCAAGTTTGAGAATTTAAATTGTATGTCCATTCTAAGAGGTAGTACCCCTTTAAAGTTCTTGCTGTGCTAGACTGTTATGTCAAAATTTAAAAAAAAATGACTTTTTAGCCAGTTCAAAATCACAGTGTGGCTGCTCATTTATGAGTATATAATATATACTTTATGACACCAGGTAAGTTCTAACTTAAGAATCCCTGTAAAATCTAGAAAATTAGAAAATTCATAAAATTAAGTAATTATTGAAAAACTCTTAATCTTGATATTAAGCGTTTTTCAATAGTTAATTGCATATTTATGGATAATTACTAAGTTTTTTGGATTTATCGGATTATATAAGGATCTTGTTATGTTATTTATGACACCAGGTATATTTACTGATGAATACATGCTCTTATTGACCAAGTTTAAAATTTGTAAATTTCATGTTTATTCTAAGACTTAGTATCCCTTTAAGAAAATTTCTGTGCATTCTGTTCATTTCATTTCATTTTTAAAAAATTTCCATAAATACATAACAATATTAGCAACTAAATTGAAATTGAGTGTTAATATATGATTTGATGTGAATGAACTATGAATTATATTAATACAGTTATTACCACAATTCTTAATATTGTGCTTTGAAAAAGGCATTTTCAGGTTATGATTGAGATAATGAAGACAGTGCGCAATGATCAAGAAATTCTGCAAAGACATCAGCATTCACCTACTCTTTTTGAATTTCCACAACCCAAAGAACATAGAGCCTTAAACATTGTCTAATTTAATCAATGATTTTCTATCTCCATATTGACCATTCTTATTCTTGAGAATTAGATGTTCATTCTAAGATGTAGTATCACTTTAAAGGGGCAGTTTACAAAAATTTCATTATCAACAATGTAAAAATATTTCTGAAATATGCTATATACATCTATGTATTATTTTAAAAGGATTTATTAAAAATGGCGAGCACTAATTGTTAATTAAGCAGTTTGATCTAGTTTTGGTGTTTAGAATACAGGAGACATATTTCTCTATAATTAGGCGTTCATTTGCTCAAATCTGTACAGTAGTTTTCTTACACCTACCAAAAAGCATAACAAAATGAAAAAGCGTTTCTCTAGATTTTTGTGTATAAGCTTAGTTATAGATTTTAGGAAAAAAATTCAAAAATAATTTTGGACCTACAAAAAAAAAATGGAATGCCCTTTAAGATATTTTGGATTTGAAAATATCACATGTAATATTTTTAGCACAGCTTTCTTCAGTTTTAAAGTGGTTCATGTACATGCTAATTTTATTTTCCGTTTCTTATTTTTTTACGTTGTTTATACAATGAAAATAGATCATAATTTTGTTTTCTTTATAGGAATAGACAGTGAAATGTCTAGTTTGAGGTATATTTGAAGGGATTACGCAATTTTCGTAGGCACAATTAAAGACCCAAATCAATCCCCGAAAATGTCGACTCTTCCCCTTTAATGCTTAATATGGTGATATCAACTTGAACATTATTTTTTACCACCTATAGTGTTAATGATGTTGAAAATATTCTATTTCAGTGGACTTACGATTATTTAACGGCTTCTTATTTCTTGTTATTGGAGAAAAAAATGAAAGGACGTCCTGTAAGGTTATTACAGAGACCAACAGCAACAGATAAAACTAAGGTAATCATATAGTCATGAAGGGGACTATAAACTAAGACTACAAGCTTTGTTTGTTACACATTCCTTAAAGGTTGGAGATCTCATAACCTACTTTCCTATCTGAAGAAAACTAGGTCTATTTCCCTGTCAATCAACATAACCTGTCAATACATTAAAAGATTCAGTTTCTGTCCGATTTGGATGTGTTATGACATGCAGGCAGACTTCTTGTTGCAGTTTTGAGGGTTTAGGGTTGGTAGCTTGCATGCTAACGTGGCCTCTTATCCTCAGAAGGATCTTAGTGCTAGGATGTCCTAGGGTCTTAACTTCTAACACTGTTTCTAGAATATCCTAGTGCTAAGTTCATTTCAAGAATACGGGGACTGGAGGTCCTTAGTTGAATCCTACCATAGATTGAGATGATACTTTCAGATTCTTCTACCCAGTTTCCCTTTAAAACAAGTTACCCAAGATACTTTGACAGTTGTAAACCAAAAAACTAGAGCATGCTTATATTGTGTGGATGTCCTGGCAAATTTTTTAATTGCACATTGTAAGGTGTTGACCATCTTTGCTAACCCAAACTCAGTAGCGAGTTGGATTGTTGTCTGCTAGTTGCCATAGGTTTGAATCCACGTTAAGGTAAGAAAAATTTTGATGCCTGTGCCAGTGCTTCCGAGAGTGGGCCCCATGTCAGCTTTCAGCCCCTTAGACAAAACTGGAGCAGGAAATAAGGATTTACAATTTAATCACTATTTATTGTCTTTAGGTTCGACCACTCAGTATAGATGAAGACAATGAATCACCATACATTCTAACACCAAATAATAAAAACAACAGAATACTCAATGGTTATAGTGATCAAAAACAACGACCAGCCAAAGAAGAAAGAGTCAAAGGTCGTGCTAGAGAGAGACTTGAATTTAGTGAAAATAATAAAGAGAATTCTGAAAATTTTGTAGTTCCCTTCACACCGAAAGCAACCTCTCATCATCGGAACCCTAAAACACCATCTTTAATAGAACCCCCAGCCAAACCTCTTTCTCCATTGATGTCTAAACAGCTACAAGTGGCTTTAGACGATACTTGTAAGTATAGGGGGCGCTTGATTGGTGTGTTCTCTAGGTTCTAATTTCATGGAATCAATCAATAAAACAAGTTGGAACAGAGTTAAGAATGCGTTCCACATATGCCGAAAAAAAAGTAGATGTGGACAGAATGGCGGAGAAAGGAAAAAGAAGGGAAAATTAGAATGTTACATAATCTGGTTTTGTACTGTTTCATTGAGGTTAGAATTGGAACGAACAGAACCTGTTCAGAGCTCACCAATCAAGCACCACCCAGAACTTGTTCATAGGGTTCCTAAAAACAAGCATTATCTATCAAAATTGACTTCACCAACTAACAGAAAATGTCAAAAAAGCCACTGCCATACAAAAGACATCTATAGAATTAGGAAAAGAGGTATTTTTGAAGGAATTATGCAATTTTCGTACATTTCTAGTTCTGAAGACTATTTACTATATTCAAGGCACACATCAACGCCCCAAAATGGTGGCCCTATCCCTTTAACATATCTTCCAAGGCAACTTTAAAATTATTTCATTTCAGTATGTACGCCTATTAAAAATGGTGAGAAATCGTTTATGAATACCACATTATCACCTTCACGATCTTACGATTCACAAATTAACAACTTACCACCTGAGAATAATATTAGCTCACATAAAAAGTAAGTTCATCCAGAATTCTGAAAATTCCATAGCATTTCTTAGTATTAAGTTACTTGGCTTACCTTGCTCAAAGCCTTCAGTCTAAATACTATGAAGTAGACTCTCATTTCTAAACCAGTTCTGCCCATAAGAGAATCTTCAGTTGCTACAATTCCACTAAGACTAAGTGTTTGATGAAGTCACTTATCGCAAAATATCACATAAGTCCCTTCGGATTACTTACATAATCAAACACAGTTTTAGTGGAATTGTGAAAGAATCACAAACATCTGATTGAAAAATTGGAATGGTGCAAATTGATGCTATCAGTGTCCCCAATACATGTAGAAAATTTTAAAAAAACCTCTTTACAATCCCTAATTCTCCAAAACTTAACTCAGATAAAATCCACATTTTAGGAAATACAGTAATCTGATTGGATAACAAATTGAATTTAAAGCAATTTTAGTGATTGACCAATCAGGTGACTGGAACACTAAAATCATCTAAGTTCAGTTTTCAAGAATAATACCCTAGGAATGTCATTGAATCATTCAAGTTGAACATTTTTGCAACTCTTGGTTGATGTTTCAGGACAGTGTCTGTTGATGATGAGTTATATAAAATCCATATGACCCCTACCAGCGCTCAGAAAGCAACTCGTAAAGCCTCAGTCTTCGGTAGTTTAGAAAAAGTCTTTAATATGTTGACACCAAAGAAGAATAGAGGGTCAACTTCAGAAGGGCCTAGAAAAGTTAAGGTAGGTTAGATTTAAGATTCTCGTGGGGAAGCACTTGTTATAAATAGTATGTAATATCACAAGTTCCTTAAAGGGTGGCACTCGATTGGCGTCTTCTGAACAGGTTCTGTCTGTTCCAGTTCTCAGAAACAGTCAAATGGTACTAATCTGGATATGTCACATTCAAAATGTCTTTCTCTGCCATTTTGAATTCTGTCTACTTCTACTTCTTTTTGGCAAACATGGAATGTATTCTGAACCCTGTTTCAACTTGTATTGAAGAACTTCTGGTAAAATCCAAGAAGAAAAAGCAAATACTATTCATGTCTTCTGGAAGTGTTTTCATATCTTAAACATTTGTTTCTATTATCTGCTTATCTGAAATCCTACACCATACACTACATCAAACTTTTTAAATTGTCTATTCTTGCACTTCTAGATCTTTTCTGTCATTTATTGTGCATAAATTTCTGACAATATTTTTGAAACATTTTCCTGTATAGAATGTTGAAAAAACACTCTTCCGAATTTGGAGATGAAGGAATAAAATGGTTGATTTATTAATAGCACATGATTTAATTGTAGGCTCTGCATAATGTATACAGAACTAATGAGTTTAATCCAGATTATGTTTTAAATAAGTTAAAGTCTACAGTTGAACAAAAATGTATACCATTTAAACACAGCGAGTAAGTACTGCTTTTTTCTCTGAATGTATTTTTCTCTGAATGTATTTTTCATGAGATGGATGGAACTCTGGTTCGTAACATGAAAGTCTTTTGTACTGTAGAATATTCTGACACTACAGTTCTGTGACTGCTACAGATTCTGTGACTCAGTTTTCTGACTGATACAGATTCTGTGACTCAGTTTTCTGACTGCTACAGATTCTGTGACTGCTACAGATTCTGTGACTGCTACAGTTCTGTGACTACAACAGTTCAGTGACTGCTACAGTTCTGTGTGACTGCTACAGTTCTGTGTGACTGCTACAGGACTCTGTGACTGCTACAGATTCTGTGACTGCTACAGTTCTGTGACTACAACAGTTCTGTGACTGCTACAGTTCTGTGTGACTGCTACAGGACTCTGTGACTGCTACAGATTCTGTGACTGCTACAGTTCTGTGACTACAACAGTTCTGTGACTGCTACAGTTCTGTGACTGCTACAGTTCTGTGACTGCTACAGATTCTGTGACTGCTACAGTTCTGTGACTGCTACAGATTCTGTGACTGCTACAGTTCTAAGACTGCTACAGTTCTGTGACTGCTACAGTTCTGTGACTACAACAGTTCTGTGACTGCTTCAGATTCTGTGACTGCTACAGTTCTAAGACTGCTTCAGTTCTGTGACAGCTACAGTTCCGTTAGTTTGCTGCCCAAATGTTAAAAATGTCGCCCGTATTTCCATTTAATTTAATTGAGTTGAACTCATGGTGCCAATGGAGTGATTTTGTTAAATGAAAACTGAAATACTGATGAAAGTAACCACTCTTGCTAACTTAGAGGCATGTGGGTTAATCCTAGGATAGGTCGAGATGATATCTCCAGATTTTTCAACTTGTTTTCCCTGTTAGTTATACTCGTCCAAGGGGTAGCAAGAAAAAGTGGATTGTCGCTCAGATGGGACCCTACACCAACCCTTGGGTGCTACAGGTTTGTTTTGTAATGTAGAAAGGGAGCCGCGGTTGCTTAATGAGTTATACACTTGCTCGCTAACCTGAAGGTCCAGGGTTCAATCGCAGCATACATTGAGATTTTTCAACCTGGTTTCCCCCTGTCAGTGATGCAGGTAAGTGTGGATGACATGGAAAAAGCGTCTAATCGTTCGGTTGGAATAATAAACCAAGGTCCTGTGTGCTACAGACTGTGCATGTTAAAGATCCCTCAACAGTTTGAAATCGTAAAAGAGCAAGCTAATGCTGCTGTCCTGGCAAAATTTCCCTCATTGCACTCTGCATGGCGTTGACGTCTTCATTAGCCCACATGGTGCAGAAAAGTAGGACATAAAACTCTATTGACACAGTAGCCTAACTTTATTTAATTGGTGACTGTTTGTTTCAGTTATATGTTAAGATGTACTGTAGCAGATGATTGGGGTAGAGTCAAACTAGCTTTTGACATGGAGGTCTGTTTGTTGCCTAAAAATTCCTATATTGGTGTTTATCGTAAAAGGGTAAAAGGTGATACGTGGCATTATAAGAAATTGTTTGAAGATATACTGCAGTCAGCCAACCTTTAAACCTAAAATTGTGGTAAGTTTTTGTTATTATTAATTGTTTTTACTCATATTAAAATTTTTAGATAGAAAAACCAGTAAAAACCATGCTTTAGAAATATCACAATATAGACCCATATTGTGATATATTAAAGGGATTATAAAGAGGTTTTCTAAATTCTGTATGTATATCGGGGACACTGATAGCATCAATTTGTGCCATTCCACTTTTCAATAAGACTTAATACAAGCAAATTTTGCGGGGTGATGTCATAAAACACTTAGTTTTAGTGGAATTTCAGGAACCACAGATGTCTGATTGAAAATTGGAATGGTGCAAATTGATGCTTTCAGTGTCCCTGATAAAAATTTAGAAATCCTCTATACAATTCCTTTAATGCTTAATATCTTGATATCCACTTGAACCAATTTCCCAGCCCTACCTCTTTACAATCCCTTTAAATATAAGTAAGTTGACAATTGATTGACCAACTGTATTGACTTTTTTGTACAATGGATAGAAAGCAGGTATCTTATTACTATAGCTACTATAATTGTAATTTTCAAATAATTTCAGATAAAAAATAGAAGAGGGAAGTTGCTTTGTATTAGTGCTTTAACTTGGCAACAAATATGGTTATGTTGTTTGTCAGCAGTGGTTTTTGTTTTTTTATAACCCTTAGAACTCTGATATTTACTCTTAAAATTCTACTGATCTTATATAACTCTACTGATCTTAATTCTTAAAACTCTACTGATCTTAATTCTTAAAACTCTACTGATATTAACCTTAAAACTCTACTGATCTTAATCATTAAAATTATACTGATCTTAATTCTTAAAACTCTACTGATCTTAACCTTAAAACTTTACTGATCTTAATCATTAAAATTATACTGATCTTAATTCTTAAAACTCTACTGATCTTAACCTTAAAACTCTACTGATCTTAATCATTAAAATTATACTGATCTTAATTCTTAAAACTCTACTGATCTTAACCTTAAAACTTTACTGATCTTAATCATTAAAATTATACTGATCTTAATTCTTAAAACTCTACTGATCTTAACCTTAAATCTCTACTGATCTTAATTCTTAAAACTCTACTGATCTTAATCATTAACATTCTAATGATCTTAATCCTTAAAACTCTACTGATCTTAATCATTAAAATTATACTGATCTTAATTCTTAAAACTCTACTGATCTTAATTCTTAAAACTCTACTGATCTTAACCTTAAATCTCTACAGATCTTAACCTAAAAACTCTACTGATCTTAATCATTAAAATTATACTGATCTTAATTCTTAAAACTCGACTGATCTTAATTCTTAAAATTCTACTGATCTTAATCATTAAAATTATACTGATCTTAACCTTAAAACTCTACTGATCTTAATTCTTAAAACTCTACTGATCTTAATTCTTAAAACTCTACTGATCTTAATTCTTAAAACTCTACAGATCTTAACCTAAAAACTCTACTGATCTTAATCATTAAAATTATACTGATCTTAATTCTTAAAACTCTACTGATCTTAATTCTTAAAATTATACTGATCTTAACCTTAAATCTCTAATGATCTTAATTCTTAAAACTCTACTGATCTTAATTCTTAAAATTCTACTGATCTTAATCATTAAAATTATACTGATCTTAACCTTAAAACTCTACTGATCTTAATTCTTAAAACTCTACTGATCTTAACCTTAAATCTTTAATGATCTTAATTCTTAAAACTCTACAGATCTTAACCTTAAAACTCAACTTATCTTAACCTGAAAATGAGAAATGCATACTATTGTCCTGTTTCTTATCGTTTCGGCTAATTGCCTTCTTCAAAGACACTTTAGTAGCTTATGATCAGATTTTGTCTGTTTTTCCTTTACTTATATTAAGTTTATAATAATATGTTATCAAAGAGTTATAATAAGAGCAAAAACTTTAAAAAGCTGCAAATAGAAATTTAAAAAAAAAACATGTTTATTTTCATACTTATGTGTAAGACTAGTATATTATCACTTTTGGGTGCAATTTTTTGATTTGATGTAGAGGGATGTTTATAACACAGATACATGATTAAGACAATTGTGCACATCCTCAAACTAATTCGAAACATTAATAAGACCAATCATTTTGTTTATGATTGAGAATGAGTAAAAAATATGTTTGTGAGGCTAGTTATGTATATATTATAAAATAGTGCCATTTTATACTGATTTTAATGTACTATATAGAAACAGTCTTGTACTTGTACATATTATATTCAAGTTTATTTTTAGTACTCACTTAAATGTAATTTTCTATCACAGAAGCCATTTTGGGTCAATCACTTAGATTCATTTGAATTGACTGTTCAAGCTTGTTCTACTTCAACACCATCATTTGGTCTCCTCTTAATGAAATCACAGTTCTAAGGCAGGGCTTACAGTAGTGCTGGAAATTGACATTGTTTCCTGACAGTGGAGTATTTAGGGAATGGGCCATTATACCATACCCCTCCTTTCGCAGGCCTGTGAAAAGTCATATTTTGAAGTGAAAATGTAAAATTCATCTCAGACTAACTGAGTCAGCAATATGTGGTCTCAAGTGGCTTTGGATGGGACAATAAACTGAGGCCCTGTGTACTACAAGCTGTACACGTTAAAAATCCCTCGACAGTTGGAAATCGAAAAAGAGCAGGCTAATGCTGCTGTCCTGGCAAAATTTACCTCATTTCACCCTGCATGGCGTTGCCCGTCTTCATTAGCCCACATGGTACAGAAAAGTAGGACGTAAAACTCAATTTTATTTTTGGTCCTTAGAGCCTCGCCTCAAAGAGACTTTTCATTTGAGCCCCCATCCCTTCATTTTCTAGATAGGCCCTTTTTTTCCCAATATGGGGGTAGTAGATAATATCTGCGAAGTTTCATTTGGTGTGATAGATCAATTTGTAAACATAAACGTAAACTAATCAAAGATTGACCTGTAAACGTGAATCTTATTGTAAACATAATATTTCTTAGGTTGTGAAACACATGTATATATATTTCTCTTATGAGATTCTTATGTGTATTAAAAACACTTAAAGCTTTTTTTACCATTTCATTGCCTGAATAACATCTGTTAGTATAATTCCCAATAAGTTGACTGGATTTCATTATTGCTATTTTTAACCATTAAGGGGACTGTAAAGAAGTTTTCTAAAAGAATTATGTGTATAGCGGACACTGATAACATCAATTTGCACCATTCTAATTTTCAATCAGATATCTGTGATTCCAATAAAAGTAAATGTTTTATAACGCCACTATCACAAAGGTTTTTATATATAAATAGCAAGTTTTAGTGGAATCGCAAGAATCACTGACGTCTGATTGAAAATTAGAATGGTGCAAATTGATGCTATCAGTGTCCACTATACACATGAAGAAATGAGAAAACCTCTTTATAATCCCTTTAAGAAAAATAGCACTGTCATAATCTTGTCAGGTATTCTTGAATTACAGGAACCACGTTTATGGTGCCAATACTTAAAAGCTTTGATCGCAACTTTAATTATATATACATACTAGAAAAATGTCTAGTGTATAATATGAAACTTTATATGGACCAGTTCCTATACATATATATATATACTGTTAACCCAATGTATTTATGTAAATATTGAAATTTTTATATTATTGACAGTAGTTGTTGTACCTTGAATAAATAACATTTATATTAAAATAAGGTATTTATCTACATGTTATTTGCATGGGTCTTATTGGTTATACAATACCTTAAAGACCATTGTACCCCCTACTTTTTTTGGTCGGGGGGGGGTGGGGGGGGGGGTGTAAAAACAACTAGAACTGCTAGAAATTTCAGTTTATATTTCTATATAATTTTCTTTTCTATGACACAGTCTCGAGAAAAGACGAGTCGCCATTTTCACTTTCAAAAGCGGATAATTCTGGATATTCTGGATTTGAAGGCGCAAATTTCGATGGTGAGCTGTGAACACTATTACTGATTGGCTTAGCTAAGAGCTTCCCGTTTGCTGTACGATTGGTCAAATTGGCGAATCTGACACTTAAAGGCAGCTTCTATTTTGATATGCATACAAATTAATATATATGCTGAATGCATAGATAAATGTTTTTATGTATCATTTTTTAAGCTGGTCGTTTTCGCCAGCTGATTACCGTCACAGCCGATAAAAAATTTATGTAACCAACATTATACTATTATTTTTACCAATATTGACAGGATGATGTTCATGCGTGATTATTAACACCCCTTAGTGTGTGGTTCCTGTTATTTGTACTAAATGCTTACATATATGACATCACTTTCACAAAACTTTGCGAAAGGGACTACGCAAAACGTCTATTTTTAGAGGAAAACTATGAAAAATAGAATGGTGCTATTCTGCATCTGAAAACGGAAACACTTGTTTATTAAGCGATATATTTGGAAAGTAACAGGCAATACTATATTTGTCATACAGCAAGAAATTACGTATCAACCTGAGTATAATATAGTCTAGCTATACAATAAGCAAACCACAAAGATTGTCAAGATTAACGTGTAGCGAACAAGAAATCCCAGTTCTTCCTCATCTGTACCACTGCCAGCTATCATTGTGATATGTGATACCTTGTACGTAAAGCTCTACAAATCTTTACAAAGTCGCTCCAGGAAGGTTCCTTTACGGGTGTGTCGGTTGCTTTTAAATTCTATCGATTTTCACCATGGTAAGATATGGTTCCGTTTTAGGTGTGTCGGCTTGTTTTGAAGATGTTGCTCTCTCCGTTAAAAATTGTTAATTTCCTGTTCAGTTGTCGGTATATTTTGATGAAGTAGTCGAACCTGTAAACTCATGGGACTGTCTTCCGGTAAGTCAAAAGCAGTGCTAATCGTTTAACTTAACCTAACTAAGTGGTTAATTTATCGACCTTCACTAATTGTTCAACTGTATACGCTGTGAAAAAACATCATATCAGCTAGTTCTAGAAAAAAAATCAAAATCTAAATCACATTGCTCTGATCTTGTATTTTTTAGTCACATGGAACGTTGGATATTTTCAGGAACAAGACGCTCTTGTCTAGGCCTACATAAACCTTTAGCGAGGGATCGGTTTTGGCTAATAATGCGGTTATGAGTTGCTCAAGATTTTTTTAGCCTTCTTTACGAAAAGTAGCATTTGTCTTAAGAAAATCGTATCATGCAAATTCCGACTTGTCACTGCCGGTCCGTTATCAACTTCTATCGGGTAGACCTATGGCATGCTGTTGGTGACATTATGTCAATAACACCCTGGAGGTTACCAATTATAACGGATTAGGCATTGAATTCCAAGAGAACCAGGCACCGGATTTCAATTTTGAAAAATGAAACATATAACTGAACATGAGATCAATCAGCTTTCTTACTCGAACGGACTTTAAACGGCACCACTCGTGGTATAATATTCAACATTGAACTGGAGTTTCGGGTTGCTCATTCTAAACTTTAAAACCAGTCTTTTTGCCATCAGAATAGTACGAATTTATTCTTAAGCCTGAAATGCCTGTTTTAGATGTGTCTTATGACAATTATTTAGGCATCTGTTTGTCTAAAAGTGTGTAAATTGAGGAACAATAAGGTAATACCTATAGTTAATCGGTAGACACCTTTACTAATAGATCTGAAAAAATAACCACAGGGTAGGTCGTCAAACTGTGAAAAACATTTTTCCTCGAGGCGTCCGTTTGAAATTAGCACCTTTCACAGTTGGAATGCGTTCTGGAATATTGAAGATGTAACATCACAGTTAGTTATAAATAGGGGAAACCGTCACTAGTGTTTAGTTGGGTTAGTTTCGACCAAGGGATAAGACTTCTGATTGCTCACGACTGTATTATTATAAAAGGACATTTTGTTTGAAAATTAAAGGTGAGTTGTAATCTCTGAACATTGTTTCAAATCCATATAATATGCTTAAATTTAAGTACAATTTCCAGGGTACAAATTTATCAACGATATTTTTTTGGTGTATAAATTTATCATTAGACTTATATCTGGTGTCATAACTATACAACAGAATCCCTGTATATTATAACGATAGACCAATAAACTAAGTAATTCATGAAAATTGGAATTTGTTGGTCAACCTTAGAGGAAGTCTTCCTTTAAAACTGTAAGCAATCTTAAAACAAAACTTTTTAAGAGTAAATTGTATAATTTTAGGTTGAAAATCTTTCTGGTTTTCTATCTTTTAATGCTGTCTGTGAAATTTATAAGGGATGTTTATTTTTCAATCTGAAGCCCAAACAAAAAGATTGCACGTGCGTGTGTGAACCAATTGGTGTATCGAGGAGTCGTGTGTAATGAATCGTAACGTAATTTTCGTAATTTTGTTGAGACATATAAACCTGAGTTTTCTCACTTGATCACTTGACATACGACACCTCGAAGCAGGTTGTTGCGTTCAAAAAACGAAATTAATGCGAAAATGGTAAGAAATGAACAAAAATTCAGCATAAATTTTGAAAAAATAATACTTATATGTTGAAAAATACTAATTAATATTATTACTGTTAGTCTTATTTGAAGAATCTTTAACTATCGAAATTTACACGATAATTTTCCTCAAAGCACACTGCATGGCATATCCGTCCTCAGTAAGTCAAAATAAAACAGAACAAAATAAAATGTAAAATTCATTCCATTTTATTTTAATTTCAGAATCGGCAATATGGAAGATGAAAGTCCAGAAAAATTGATCAGTTTTGTAAAGGCAGCTACAGACTCGGTTCAGAACGTTTTAAAAACACCTTTAACAGGATTGACACCGGTACCACAGAAAGCTTACCGTCGAAGGCGATTGAAAAAAGGCTTAGATAAGACGCTGAAGAAGCTCAAAATTGAAAGACAACATCAAATACAACAGTACGAAGTTCAAGAGATGTACACATTATCCATGCTGAATTCCGCCTCCATTTGTTTTGGAGACAATGCCGAACTCTATGGAATCATAAATGGAACTGATCATCAAGATGCAGCTAACGTATTGACTGAATCCCAAGGTAAAGAGTTTTACATCCCACCCACCGACCGGTTTTTAGATTCCTATATCCCAAGAATTGGTAGTCCTCGGGAGAACAAACAGCTAAGCAACAACAACTATGGATCTTTGAGCAACTTCCACAACTACCAGTCACCATGCATGTTTGAAATGTCGGCTTGTTCTATTTGGGATGGTAATATAAGTCCTCCCCAACACACTATTAACAATAACTATTCTGGAACAATCGACATGTATGAAAATCCTGCTGTCCAGATACCTTACATGGGCTTTGAAAACAATGGTCCTGCTCCTATGCAGAATGGTCAATCAGAACTTCCGGTAGCTGGTTTGGTTTCTCCACCATTTGATGAGTATAGTCAACAATCGTTCGAACAGTACTGTTCTTCACAAGATAATTTCGACAATGGTTGTTTGAATACCAGTGGAAGCGAAGCTGAATCCATTAAAGAAATGAATATCATAAACGATTTGGTGGACGAAGAAGATTTCAGTGCTGACGCCTTTGACGATATTTTGTCGGAGATGGAAACGACAGTATCTCATAGCTTTTCCAATGACTCGATTCTTTCTGGATTTGAGAGTGACATATCATCTGATAGAGTAACAGCATTAGACGGTTGGTCGGCCGGAAGTAGCAATGGTTCTGATTCCGGATTGTCAATTCCGAATGTGGTTACCTCATCTCAGAGCGAAATAAATAACAGTTTGCCTTCATTTTCGTCAGTATTTATGCAGTAACGTCTGGCAACATTACATCTAGCACTAAGAAAACGTATGGGCAACGGCCTAGGGTCTACTGTTATTCCTAAAGAACACAGTCATGTATGCACGTTTAAACCAGTGTCGGTGCTCGTCGTGCATAAATTTATACATGGTGCACATTACACGATATGATTATAGAATTTACTCTAGTGCTATTTACAAACATGAAATTGAAATAGTTGATTCGTTTTCCTTCAAAAAGGGTTTCGTACATGTATGTATTTGCATCTTTCCTGTTATTCTAGAAAAATCTTGACCAAGCTATGACGTTATCATTGAAGTTAAATGGTCTTTGCTTCTTTTCGAAGAGAGAATGAAGATGAATAACAAGAATTATGATGCTCATCGTTGTCAATTGCTAGTCG